AGATAAACAGTAAAATGTGTTTTAGTTCAAAATTTCCATATAATATTACATGAACTTTTCATTTCAGTGAAATGACATATTTTTAAGTAAAATGTGTCATTTCACTGACATATTTTTCACTTAACGAGCAAAAAATGAACATTAGATTCATTTACACAGCAAAATTCAAATGAGAAATGGAAAAACTAAGATTATAGAAAATTTATCATTTTTACAGAACATACTTCGCCAAGAAATATTCAATTTTTCAAATTTCTTTTGTATATTCCTTTTGAATAAGTACCTTAGATCTCCAATATTCAAAAGTTTTTCATCTTTTCAAATTTTCTAAATTTTAAGGGGTGTGTCAATTTGCAATGTAAATTCATTATAAACTGATTTTACTATACAAAAAATAAAAGAAACTCATAACATGTGATAAAACATAAAAACAAACTTAACAAAATTTCAAGTGAAAATAAAAAAAAGTTAATATTTATATTATTTCAAGTATCTTAACTTTTTCCTGTATAGTTTTAAATTAATCCTTACAAAATTCAAATTTCATAACAGCTGCAAAATACAAATTTAAAGCGTATTCTTACTTTTCTTTTTCTCTTTATTATTTCCCTTTATTTTTTGGTTTGCATAGGGGGATCAATTTACAATTCATTTGCATAGCAAACTGAACCACCTTTTTCAAATTGGGAAAATTATTTTTTTTATATTCATGATCCAGAGACCTTAATTGATAAAAAATGAAAAAAAAAATCCTTGAAGAGGTGTATTTCTTTAGAAAAACAAAAAATTTATTTTTCAATAGAAAAAGTTAAGTGTTTGTAATGTCAGAGTTGTGAGATCTTAAGATTTTGGACAGACTTCATAAAGATTTGAATTTCAGCTGATCACGATTTGATAAAGATTTGAATTTCAGCTGATCACATGAGTAGAAAGAAATGCAAAGTTCAGATGACAAACATCAATACTATAAGGATAACAATTTGAATTTGCAAAATAAGGAATAGAAATTGTAATTGGAAAATTGTTTCTTGATGCTTTAAAAACAAAATACTAATTAAGAAAATAAAAGAATATAAAATCTTGCTGTTTTCTTTTGGGATTTATTTCAATTTTATAGACATATGATTCTATTAGTTGCAATGAATAATATCTATAACAGGTTTAACAGACAAACTGAGCCTTTAATGAATGATAGCAATGGCCATGGGAAAAAAGTTGACATTTTTATTAAACTATTAACATTTTTAAATTTATTTTCTTGATTAAAAAAAAATCTGTATTGATTTCAATAACTTTATTTCTAATATAAATTTGTTATAACAGCAGCTGAAATAAAATGTAAAAAATATTTGAAGAAAATTGATCAGTGTTTTGTAAGACTGGCCTATTTTATAAAAAAAAAAATCCCATTAAAACTTCATTGGTATAAATCAATAGTTGTACCATAAGAAAAAGATCATTTGATTAATAGGCACAGTTCAGAAATACTTGAACAAATGATAACATTTTTATAAATACAAAAGCTGACAGTAATTTGCTTTACTGGAGATAAAAAGAATTCAGATTTTCATCTGGAAGTAGAAAGTATGACAAAAGCCATTGGTCATTCTATTTCATATAAAAAAAATGTTCAAAATGCTTGTAACAAAAATACAAATGCTGAAACTCATTCAGTAGACAGTTAAAAACTAATGAAACAGTCACTAATGAAAGGCGTGTGTGTGTGGGTGTATAATTTAATGAAAACTCTTCAATTATTCCTTCAAGTAAAAATCTCATAGCTGTCCAGATATAATTTTTTTTACAACTTTATTTCTTAGTGATAGTTAGCATTAAGAATATAGATATAAAAATTATAATCAAGCATTTCTATTTATTATTCTAGATAGGCCTGTCAATTACCTTGTTATTTGAATACATTCATTTCAACTTATGAAGAAAAAGTACAAGTCTCAAAAATACTTTATTATAAAAGATCATAATGGACGTGCAACTGAATGATGCATCAAGCATTCAAATATCATAAGGCCTCAGTTTGGTATAGAAAAAAAATTAATGAAATCTTAAAATTTTTTAAAAAGCAGGAAAAAAAAAAGAAACCAAACAAAGGTGGGTTAATTTCCATGATTGTAATACATTCATTTTTATAATTACAAAACAGTTTTTAACCAGGTGAGTATATTATGCAAGGAGTCAAATTTTAACAAAATAATCCCTTTTAATTGTTCTTTTTTCATCAAGCATAACTTTGATGCAGATATTTCAGTTATGTATGATTATAAAGCGTGTAACTTCCCATTCCTAAGTAAATGCATGAATCTACATACAAAATTCAGTGGGTATCCTGATAAATATTCTTTTGTATTTATAATACTTTTCTGCGTCACAATGACATGCTGTAACATATTTATACTAGAAATATTGTGTTAAAGGAATTCTTAAATTTAAATTGGCTTTGTTGATAAACTTTTAAAGAGATGTTGAAATATATGCATAAATTAAAAATTAGTTTCATTTATTATAATTGTTTTCATTTATAGAAACAAAAAAAGGCAGAGGATAAATTTTTATCTTGGCTTAATTTTAATATTTAGGAAATATTGAAGATAAAAAAAATAGCGATCAATATCAAGTTCTTGATATCAATACAATTGCAAAATTAAATATGCAGTCATTTTTATGGAATGGGAAAACACCTCTAATTATTTAGTTTATTCATTCAGGGGGATTTTATGGTAATTCAAAGCAAATCAAATGTATTTGAATTGAAGAAAATAGGCATTTGAATATTTCCTAGCTACATAACATTAAATTGTAACTTTTTTTATTATACTAACCAGTTTCTTTACTTAAATTTATTTTTTTTCATTTCATTTTAAACAGAAGTTTGTTTTTATAATGTTGAAAATAATCAAGTATGCCATCAAAATAATTAAAAAATATTTTGCAGACTCTTAATTTTTTTTTATGCCAGTTAAAAGATTTGCAGTGTAAAAAAATAGTTATAAACCCACAGAACATAATTGTTACTTAAAATAATGGTCTTGTTTTATCAAAGGACAAAGTCATGATTATTAAAAACGTTATGTCACATTTGGTTGACACTCAACACTGGATGATACACATTTATAAATAAAAGCATTTTTATTTTTTTGTGTAAAATACCAAATATAGAAATCCTCTATAATTTTGGGATTAAGGGCTTTTTGTTGGTTGACCAATCATTTTCAAGCTCACAAACTTATGTTGGCTGATTAATGGTGTTAAATTTCAATGTCTGACAGTTCTCCATTATAACATTAACAGACTAAATAATATGTAAGTAAAGAAAATTTCCAATATAATTTATCTATTGATTAGTAATATATTAAATTTTCTGAAAATTCTTTACAGTTACTTTTTTTAAATATGATTTAAAAAAAGTAACTGTACAGGATTTTCAGAAATTTTTAATATATTTACTAATCAATAGATAAATTATATTGGAAATTTTCTTTACTTAGAGGAATTTGAAGTTTTTGTACAACTAATATAAGAGATGAATGGATGAATCAGGAGTTCAAGTGGTATGAAATTATTATTCAAATTCCTAATCTTCATGATTCAAATACAAACCCCACCCAATTGAATTATTCATCAAAGTCATTTGAATGTATTTAATAATAGATCATTTCTGTTTTAAGAAAAAAAAAAGAAAGGTTTTTAAAAATAGTTTTCAGCTGTTACTTTCAACGAAATTTGCATCACAGAAAAATTGCAGCCCAAATAAATGATCCATTTATAATGAATAAATATTTTAGCTACAAAGAGTTAAGATATGAACCAGTTGAAAATTTGATTTGATAATATACAAGATAAAATATTCTTTGGCTTTCAAATATATGCAGGGTTCCCTCCACCTTGCCAAAAGATTAAATTTTGTCAAATGTTCTGAAATTATTTTTTGGTGAAACTTTACATTTTACAACTTAGATGAATCTAAAAAAACAAAAACTTTAAAAACAACTAGATAACAAATACAATAATTTGAAAGGATATAGAATTATGATAAAACCCAATTACTCCATGTTAAAAACAAAATTTAATTTAAAATTAATAGTATATGTGTGCATGTGTGTTTAGTTAAAATCTTTTGGGAAAAAAAATTGTTATAACTTCCTTCCAGTGTGATTTGCTTTTTTTTTTTTTTTTTTAATCGTTATGTACATTGTAATATGACTGATGGAACAAAATCAATTAAAAAAAAAAAAAACAAAGATACCATTCTTTATATTTTAAAGATGCTTCCTTGCAACAAATTAAAACTCAAATGGGGCCCAGTAAGCTATAAACATTGAAAGAAGAATATTTAAATCAGTGATAAGGCAATAATAAAAGTTTGGTTATTTGAGAAAAATATAATATTAGAATGATTTTAAAAGAGAATACTAATTTAAAAAAATAATATTTTAAAAGACTAAAGAAATCAGTTTATTGCTACTGAAGAACATTATCCTTACAAAATCAAATAAAAAAGAAAGACTATATTACAATATGTCATGGCATGTTTTAAATAAATATATTTCTTGATCCTGCAAACAAAATCTGTCTTAGGAATATGAAACAGATTTTGATTTCTTGATGACAGAAAAAAAAAAAAAAAATATATAAAATTATAAAAATGTTTATATATAATTATAAAATTATTGTGAAGTGCAGTATAAAAAAAAGAGAAAGAAATTGGTATTCACAAAAAAATGTTATTATCTAGTGCAAGGCTGATGTCATTTGCTGATTTGACCAGTGATACCAACTCCATAGGAATCAAATTTGTCTCTCTTTAACATTTATAATTCTTTGATGCCTGATTGTTATACTCAAGAATTCACCAAAATCTCAATATTTCTTAAAGTAATTTTCCTACTTTAAAATGTAAGTTTAAAGCAAAAAAAAAAAAAAAAAAAGAAAAAAGAAACCCATCATTTCAAGTGTGAATATCGAGCTAGGTCCTTTCTTGTTACAATGCCACATACCTGCAAGAAAAAAAAAAACAAAGATTGATTTATTGGGAGTAGCATCCAAATCTTTATTGTTATATATATCTTTTTCAGTAAGCTTATGAAAATTTTGAACTTAATCCTTTTCTCAGGAATAAATAGATTTCATTCAACTCTCTATACTAAAAGAAATCTTATATTAGTTAATTCTGTTTAGTTAATTTGTTATTGTGACAAGTGTTGGATTAATTTAGTAACAAAAATAGCAAATTCTACAGATATTTTTGAGGGCACTGCATAAAATATTTCCAAGTTGTCTAGTGATATTTGCATCTTACAACCTGGCAATGTTTACATGTTAAGGAACTGCATCTTTAATTATTCATCATTTCAGATAATATTATACTGAGGCTGTTAAATCTACTCAAATATCTCATTTGCCTCATTTTTCTGAGCTGCTTATGTTGATAAATTTAATATTTACCTATTGTATAAACTATCATGTGAAGTCATGCTACAAGTGCTGCTCAGTATACCTGCTGCATGGTTGGGTCATCAACAACTGAACCAGTTTTCCCATCAGGCTTTTCTGGTGAGGTGTGTGGCTAGACATCTAACAGGATCTAAACAAGAACTGTCAAAGGGTGGATGAACCTTCTTGAAGAGTCAATGGCTATCTAGTGCAATAATGTAGACTGGACTTTATAGCTATGTATGCAACCAGTGCAGCGATAGGTGAGCCTTCAAGTTGAAGGATATCAGCTGTGGTTTATCCTGGAGAGGGATGGACTCTGCCAGGTCTACTTGCCCAAGCCACACTATACATGAATGAATCTGACTTTCAACTCAGATATGTGGAAGAAACTAATGCTCAGCTGCACAGTGACCTTACAACCACACCTAGCCATGGTGATGACTATGTTAGTAAATAATTCATGATTTAATATTTATGTGTATTTTTTAAAATTTAGTTCCTCTTTATAACAAATGATACAACTCCTACACTAGCTTAATCTGGTCCTGTTTTCGGCATTACCTGTCTACTACTTCTATTTAACTAGAATAGACAACATTGATTGGGATTGAACTAACACTGCCAAGTAACTAAGATATACTTAATTAACACTTATCTACAAGGCAATGGTCTTGTAGGACAATCCAGTTGTTGGACCATGACTGTAACACCCAATATGAAGACAATCAGTGTAATTGTAATTGCTCATCTAAACATCACACACAGAGAAGATTACTTTTCAGTTTTGTTTACATTCAAGATAATGTTACTAAAATTTAACTTTTATTTAGGAGAGTTAATAATTTAGACTTTTTTTCCTTTGAGATCATCTTAGAATCTACAAATCTTTCTTCCTTTCTAATATTATTTCTAATGCAGAAAGTAAGCAATTATTACTTATATTGGCTATTTATGATACTTTAAAATGAGGTACAATATTAAGGAAATATTGTATATAAACTATTGCAAAAAAGCTATGTTAAGAAATCCTTCTAATTATTCACAAAATAAAACTTTGGCATTCACAATACAAATTTACAATCCTTAATGTTACAGACAGGATAGTCTTCAAGAAAAGAAAATACAAGCTTTAAAAATTAACTGATGAATTTTGTGCTAACAAAATTATAAATTTTTTTTCTTTTTTACTTACTCTATGTTTATCATCTATGACTGTGACATGTCGTAATCCCAAAGCTCTGAATAACCGGAAAATACGAGGATATGTTGAATTCTGAAATATATAAAAAGCATTTTTCTTTGGATATCAAAAATATTTTTTCCTTTGAGCTTTTGCCTTAGTTCATGGAAAGGAGTGATGTTTGCATAAAACATACTCACATACATACATACAGTTCAGTAGAAACAAATTGTTTTAAAAATAATGTCAGCTTTCTGATCATGAAATCAGAGTTCAAATCTCACCATGGCCAATTTGTCAGGGAGGTGATTTCTTAATATTATCTATTAATAGATGATCCTAGCATGCAATACCATTGGAAACTGCCTGAAAACCATACTATGAGTTGATCCAAGTTTTGTGAGTGAAATTGAGTAGACAAAACTGTTTGGAACCTGTCAATTGTGCTAGCATGAAGTCAGGAGTCATTGTGACTGAAGGTATGAGTATAGTGACCTTGTTCAAACTGTTGATTATGCATTCTCCCTCAGAAACTGTAACTAAAGTTTTCTCAGTATAAACCAGAGGTTGCCTTTATGGGTGTTGAACAAACACAATGTGTTTGAATAAGTATCTGCAACAAAGATTGACCAGTCATCCTAGCAGACAGGCATACAAGGAAAGGAGTTGTCAGCAATTAATTATTATATGAATGATATGGTTGTTGTGGAGTAGTTTCACAGTGGAGGCTTGTAGTTGTACTAAGTCGGTCCTAAAATAGGTTCGACGTACAAAACGTTAGGAACTTGAGATAATAGGTAATGACGCAGAGAAATCTAGTTGTGGTCGCTGATACTTTAGTATCCGACTAACGGTCATCCAGCATCGACTGACTGAACAACTCACTCAGCAACTCATTACTCTTACTACTCCTACTTATTATAGGTGGGAGAGTCTATTAACTATAGAATAGGTGTGGTCCACTATAACAATTGTGACAGATACAGAAGTTATAATAAATCAACATTCAACAGATCCAAGTTGGATGATTGTTATCTGGAAAGTAACAGTAATAAACTCTCTAAGGCAATAGCATTTTAGTTTTTTTGAAAGCAGACTTCTTGAAACCTCACACATTATTCCCAGCTTCTCAAATTTTCAAAGCAATCAACAAAGTTCATTCTCAAGATTGTCATCAGCTGCCTTGTCACATTCTCCTTAATCTCCTCCATGGTGTTTCAACAGCAATTTTAGCAAGTAGTGAATTGACTTTCATTTGAAAGCCCAACATTAAGTTTTTGAAATGATTTTTTTTTTTCAATTGTAATTAGTCTTATTTTAAAGAGTAGCTGCAAAGTGTCAAGTAGTGAAATTCGAAATTTAGTCTAGCTGGCCTTTCAAAAATAACCAATCTGGCAATCCTACTTTGGAAGCCAATTCTGGATTGTAAGCAGGCTCACAGACCTGGGTGATGTAATTAAAAAAAACATGCATTTGTAAAGGATGTGATGGCTACACTTTGTTTCGTTGACCCTAAGTTAGCAATGCCTCTAACTACAGAAACATGAATAAACATGAACATAGATTTATAGAACAAATAATAACTATTTATTAGGTGAAACACTGACATTGTGGAAAAAAAAAATGGATGAGTCTGTCAGAGCAATTAGTTCTTTGTGGGAACAGGAAGCATTGGTCACAAATCACATATAGAAGCTTTTGGGAACATATTTGGTTTTAGTATGTGAAGCTTGTACTTACAAATAAATCCAATTATCTATCAGTGGAGCATTAGTTCTCATGTCAAATTCCTTGTCCAGGAGTAGTGAGTGGAACTCTACGGTTCTGCAGACATGTCATTCATGGTCTGTTGCTATGGCTGCATCTCTTTTGTCACTATACTGCTGTTTAAATGCTAATTCTCCTCTGCTTATATCAGTAGAGATAGGCTCGACTTGAACAAAATTTTAGATTCTCAATCTTCTGTTTGATTGGACAACATTTAATCCTTAATTACGATTTGCTAGTTTTGTTATTTTACTGCAACTATGTTTGTGCATAGTTTACATTATGACAAATGTCTAAGTTAATTAATGCTTTAATCCTGGTTACATCTGTCCATGCACAAGAAAATATATTTTAAGTTTTTGGAGTTGCAACATATTTACTTGCTTGGTTATTGTAAGTGTTACATCACACAGTATACAAGTTCACTAAATGATGTCCCATTGCTGATTCAGTGACCCAATGGAAGAGTATTCACACATATGCAGTAAGAACCTATCTTATTTACTACAAAGATATCTCATGACTGCACAAGTAGTTATCAAGAAAATGGTCAAATACATTCCAGACAAATCTCATATATACATAAAGATAGGTTTATATATTTACTGTCATCAAAATTACCAAACTGGAGAGACAAAAAAAATTGTAATTAGAAGATGGTAGTAACCTCAACAATAATAAAATTCTGCATTAGTTAAAAAAAAAAAAAAAAAAAAAAAAAATGCCAAAAAGCAGAAATGGTCTTAAAATATGTTGTTTTTTTTAGTGACAACTGTTTTTCTTTCAAAAATTATTGTCGAAAGATAAAAAGTATCACATCCATATCCACTAAAATACTTACATAAGCCACCGTGTATGCTCCTGCATTCATGAAGTGTGTGAGGTCTATATGCATTTCTCTTTCTCGTGGTGAAACATTAATTTTCTGAAGAAAGAGGGGAAAAACACAAAGGTATAAGCAAATTTCATTTAAATCTGTATTTGTTTATATATTAGAAGGACAAGCAAATACATATTTTGTAAGGAATTTTATCATTATTCATTAAAAGTCTGTTTTTTGAAAACAGAGAAAATAGAAAAAAAAAGTTTTTTTCTGACTGCGTAATGTCAACAAGTTTATAAAATCTTATATGGAAGCATTGACATTTCATCAAGGAAAGTATAATAGTAAGCAGAAAAAGTCAGTTTTAAAATTTCCATTTTTTAAGAGTATATTATTTAAAAGAAAAATATCCTTTTTAAATTAAAACTAATGAAGAGCCACAAAAATTCAGAAATTTGAGAATGTTTTGTAAACAAAAGAAGTTTGAAAAAGTTCTGTAATAGTAGCTTATATATATATATATATATATATATATATGAGAGAGAAAGAGATAGGGATAACAAATGGTTCAGTATATGAAAGTGTCAATAGAAGAAAGTGAATGTTAATTATTTGGGAATTTTTATAATAGTGTTATTTACATGAAGCACAAATAACATGACAGCATAGGTAGATATAAGAAAAAGGAAAGGAAAATTCGGTATAAAAATTGAAAACACATTGTGCTTAAGTTATCTCAGAAATTGAATAAAAAATGTAAATTAAAAGTTTTCATCTACAAAAATCCCAAATTTTTACTTACATGGATTGGTTGAAATCTGGGATATTCTTCTCTGAAATCTTTATTACGAAAATTTCTTATTGTGTGATAAAGATCTTCTCTTTCATTAAAAGCCTGTTTTATAAAGAAAAAATAAAAACATTTTAAAATTCCCATTTTTTCCCCACATAAGCTAAAAATTCTTAAAATCAATCATATCCTCATGCTACTAATGGTGATCTGTTTGCTTATGAAATTTTATATATATATAAAGACAAAAGGAAAAGTTATCTTAGCCAGGTGTGTCAAACTGGCAGCCCTTTACATGCATCTTGGTGGCCTTCACAAAGGTTTCTATAGCCATGGTACATTGAGAATTTTGTCTATGTTAGTAATGCAAATTATTAAAAGCAGTGAGATTTTATTTCAATTGGTATGATTAAATTGTTTATTCTATCTCAATGGTTTTTGCTTTTGAGTATTAGTGACTATTTTTAACTTCTAGTTAATCATATGATCATACTTGACAAATTAAATAAGAACAAACGTAAAGTGAAAACGTCCATAACTTTATAATATTTTGCCTTAAAAATGTCAAATTCTATACAATCTTGTAAAAAGAGAAAATTATTTGAAGAAGGACATGTTTCATGAAAAGAGGGAATTACAGTCATTTTGTATCACTGTTAATGGAAAGATAAACTGTTTGATTTACAACCAAAAGAATATAATGTGAAAAGACATTATGAGACAAACCATCGATCTTATGATAATTATGAAGGAGATATGCATGTTTCAAAAGTAAAGGAATTCAAGGTTAAGTTAATACAGTAACAGAGTTGCTTTACAAAAATTCAGAAAGGCAATGTTAGTTCTGTTACTGCAAGCTTTGAGCTCTGCAATGTCTTGTAAAAACAGCAGAAATTGTATGTCCAGAGAAGTCACTTATTTCAAGACATTTCATTAAGAAGGAACACTGTTGCTGAACGGATTGATGAAATGGCAGGTGATTTGAGTTGACAGTTGGAGACTTTATCATCAAGTTTTTAAGATTTTTTTATTGCTCTGGATGAGACTGTTGACATAGCTGGAATAGCACAGCTTGCTGTTTTCATCAAGGCTTGTGACAATGAATTTCAAATTTATGAGGAACTAATTGAACTGGTCCCAATGCATGATACTACAACAAGCCAGGACATTTTTGAGAAAGTTGAACAGCTTCTCCATGAGTATAGCCTTGATTTGAGTAAACTTGTGTGTTTATCTATTGATGGTGCTGCCAATATAGTTGGAAGACATAATGGTGTTGCTGCTAAGTTAGATTAAAAAAGAATACCCGCTCGGCCCGGTGGCTAGGATCAAAGTGTAGTATCTGCGCTTTGTGAGCTGCCGGGTTGGGTGTCTGTCGAACTCTCTGCTTTCAGAGAGGAACCCGGATCAAGCCTGTCAAGGGTAGGGTTTCGTTGGGGAGGTTGACGAAACTGGCCCGCCTCGGCGGGGTTTGGATGGTTATTTATTTTTGGCTGGGCCTACGGGCTCAGAGATACCCACATTAAAAAGGCCTTGTGCCACATTCGATCCCCGTGGGTGGATTGATAAATACCAGCTAAGTTAGGTACAAAAAAAAGAAAACATATCCAGATTCAACATTCAAGCATTTTTACTGTTTAATTCATTAACTTATGTTCCAAGATTTTAAAATTAGATCATGTGTTGAATTTTGTCACAAAAAAAGTGAACTATATCAGAGGTTGTGCTCTGCATCACTGTCAGTTTAGCCAGTTATTGGAAGACATGAATAATCAGTTCACAAATGGCCCATTCTACACAGAAGTTTGGTAGCTTTCATGTCACAAGGTACTGAAAATTTTTTGTATTGTGACATGAAATTATGTTTTGGGAGATGAAGTTTCAAAGCACACATGAATTGCAAGATGAAAACTGGCTCCAAGATCTAGCTTTTTCAGTGGATATTACTGCCCAATCAAGTGACCTTAATTTGAAATTACAAGGTAAAAATAAGCTTATCACTCAGTTATATGATGATATCAAGTGCTTCATTGCAAAATTAGCTTTATTGAAGTCCCAGTTGTCACATGAAAACTTGATTCATTTTCCTATGTGCAAGGAGTTGAAAAAAAACTGCCAATACTGAGTCTGTATTTATCTTTGCTAAGTATGACAATTACCTAGAATTGCTGTCAAAGAAATTTCACTGAAGATTTTGTGATTTTTCATCATGTGAAGATCAGTTTGCATTATTCTCAGCATCATTCACTTTTGATGTTGTTCAGGTAGAGGAATGTCTACAGATGGAACTACTGGAAATGTAGACTGACTCAACACTCAAGGGAAAGTACCTAGAAGTAGGGATACCCGGATGTTTTCATACCTTCCTCAGACATTTAAGAACTTCAGAAAGTTTGTCACAAAGATTATGGTGATGTTTGGTTTCACATATCTGTGAGCAGTTATTTTTATTTATGAAGGCCACAAAAACGTCTCACAGAACCAGATTAACTGATGAACATTTGTCATCTTTGATCAAAGTGAGATCTACACAGACATTCCAACCTGATATATAAAGAATATTTTGTCTAAAGCGATGTCAATCATCAAGACAACATAAAAATGATTAAATTGTACTACCTTGTATTGTAAGTATTTTGTATTTAAAGTTTAGTTACCACTAGCTGTGATTAATGTAAGAGGCTGCAGATATGGCTGATGCAGCCCTCCATATGCCCTGAGTTTGATATGCCTGATCTTAGCTGATATATTTTGTCCGCTGAAGGATTTTATCAAGGAAAATGAAAGGATTTTATGTTGTAACAAGTATTTATAAACAAGTGCAAAAATGCTATTGGGTTTGCAAAATTTTTAAATTTAAGAGTCATTGTTCCCACAGATGTGTGTAAAATCTATGTTAAGAAGTTTCAAGTACTGAAACTGATATGCATGCACACACAAGCATATGCACACACACATGCACAAGGTAAATGGTCATCAGTTTTGCAAACACAAACTTTGTAAGTTATCTTTTGATAGTTTGACAGATGAGACATTCAAAGAAAAGCTACAGCTTGTTCCAATAATTCATGTCACATGGATCAGTTGAAAGCAGTGAAGTTTTGAAGGTTAAAACACAACTGAATGTAGACCTGGTTATGTTACACAATTTGTGTATCATTCACTGGAGTTCTACAATGCTTGAAAATTTTGAATTACTCACTAATTCTTACTGCTACATATTTCAGCTATATAGACTATACATGCTTTGTGAATGTCACAAAAATTCTTGACTGCTGCATATTTCCTGGGAAGTTAAGTACAATGGTTTTAAAAGACAGAGCTACAAATAGAAATTTTTACAAAAAGACTACACATTTTAGCTCGCCCTACTACTCATGGCTTTTGTTGCACAATGATGTTAACATGTTTTCAGTTCATCTAGTTTAGCATTCAGCTCCTCTTCCAATTTTGATACCTCTATGGACTTGTCCTTTTCATGGCATTGGACTTTGCAATAAGTGTGAAGTTCTGAGTCTGCTCAGCTTTCTCTGCATAGCTCTCAGCTGACTTGAGCAAATCTTGTGTGCAACTTTCAAGCTTGTGTGTTTTGGTCTTCAGTTCTTCAATTTTCATAAGCATGGATTTCCATTTTTGTCCAGCTGATTCTTCTTGCCTTTTTCTCTTCTCAGCCTCAAGGTATTGGTTGTATGCTGTTCTGGCATTGGAAGCACTTCAGAGAAGAGCCTTAGTCATAGGAACATTTTCAGCACCTCCAACTGTGGCCAAATAATCCATGATAATGAACTGTGCAACCAGTCTGCTGTTTAATATTGTCAGTGGAAATTTCCTTATTGACCAAGAAATCTCTCTTCACTGAGGCCTGCCCATGAGAGAGTACCAGCAATCTGCAAACTATTTTCTGCAGAGTTTTGATATTCTTTGTTGCTAGACAAAGAAGCATAGAACAAAGTGTCCAGACAGTTTTCATGTTTGCTGAAATTCTTGAAAGCAATATTTCCAGTAGCCTCCTCCTCCTTGAACTCTGTACTGACTGAGGATGTCATCACAATCAGACTTGCTGACTTGTTTTCTGTCCAAGTTTGAGAATCAAATTTGACTCAGATTTCATTCTCAGACTTGTTACTTTTGGCAACAAACAGTTTATACACAGATACACATTGCCATGAGATATATAAAGTATTTATTTTTTCAGCATGAACTTACCCACCACTGACTCGAGATCAAAAAGACTTTTTACTTTTGAAATTGACATGTGAATAAAATTTTTTCAATTGTTCAAATTTAAAAAAAAATTTTAAGATTCTACTAAAATGTATTTTTATTACAGTTATTTTCTTATTCAACTACAAATTCAATGAGTGTGAATTAATTTATCTTTGACAGAGATGTTTACTTGTCTCTGACACCTTTATTATTGCTTCACACCTTCATATTCTTTCTCCTTTTTTTCTCGTTACCTAGATGAGAAAATACAGAAGTAACTAAAGGTCATTAAGTCATTCTAATCAAGGAAACAAACCACCATTTTTCAATAACTGTCAAATATTACTGATGACTAAAAAAATCTTGTTTCATAAAGGACAACTTTAGCTTGTAAAAAAAAAAAAGCCAGATTTCTGGGATTTGGCATTTTGACTTTCATGAATTGAGAAAAGGGATATGTGGGCAGCCCAATTTAGAAAATTCCAGGATTTTTTAAAGAGCTTTTGGGCTATTGCTGTTTTTCCAGGACTTTTTAAGCCCTGTGAAAGGTCCTGTCAATTTTCCAAGACTTTTCAAGGTTTCCAGGACCTGTATGAACTCTGAAGAATGCTCATAAATATTCATCAGGTTAGCCAAAATGTCTAAAACTTTTGAAAAACCAATAACATTTTTGCACTTGCATATAAATACTTATCACAACATAAAATCCTTGCATTTGCCTTGATAAAATCCCTGAGGACAAAACATGTTGTCTAAGATAAATTTTCCGTTTGTCTTTATTCATATTGTCCTTTTACAGATATATTCTATCTGAAATTTTACACACACACACACACACACACACACATATATATATATAGTAGTAACAGACATTGTCAGAAAATAACCTCCACCATATATAGATATCAACTGAATTACTGATATAGGTGAATGTTGTGAAAATGTTAAGAAAATATAAAACCAAATTCAATCTAATATTTTTTATCAAAAATGGTGTCAATAAATTACAAAAGGACATGGTTATTATTTATATGTTCTTCTATACAGTTTTGTTATATTTGATACTCATAAATATTGACTTATAATCAAAATCTATTGTTTATTATTTAAAACAAATTTAACAAAATGTAAAAGAAAACCAGAATTTCAAAAAGAAATAAAACAATTTTGAGAGAGAAGTTTATAGCAATCATTTGAACCAAATTTAGAACAACTTTTCTTAAACAAAATTCTAATGTATAAAAAATTGTTATAATTAAATGAAATGCAGATTTTATGGTGAAATGCAAGACTTCAAAAAGGATTTCTGCCAAAATGAGAAAAAGTTTTTTCTTTGTTTTTTTTTTTTTAAATTAAAACTTAAATTTTTTTGGTTTGATAGTTACAAAAAAGATGCATAAAGACAATTTACCTTCATTTTTAAAAGAACAAGTAATTGATTCCTTAAAATCATTCCTCGGTAAGTTCCAAATGTTTGTATTCTTTCTAGATTGCTTCGTTCCTATCAAAGATAAAATTATAGAAAAATTACTATGAATCATAAAGAACAAATTCAAACATAAACATATGATATAGTCCAAGCCCATAAAGAGAAATACATTTTTTGTTAATTTAAAAATTAGATTTTTTTATTTTATACTAAGATCTCCAAGGTCTTTAACCGTAAGAAGCATTTGTATTAAAAATAAAAAATAACAGACTAATTTGTGAAGTTTATTTTAGTAATAAAATAAATTCAAAGAAGCTGCTTCACATCCCCTATTTGTCAATAATAGTTTCAGCTAATGCTTCAATAGAAGGGAGGGGGGTGTTAGAAATATTAATGTAAATATTGCTTTTCAAATGTGTAACTATTAAAAAGCATTGACAGGCCAGAACTGTAAAGAGTGATATAAAAAAATTCATAAAAGAACGGATAACGAAAAATTCAATCCCAATTTGCAAAAAAATGAAAAAAGGTGTGGTTTCCTGGTTGGATTTAAAAAGTTACTTTACTTCTAATTCTATTTCTACTACTTTACTTTTGTTTTATAGTGAAATTATGAATGCTTTAGCAATTCTGCATTTAGAGTCAAAATATGATAATAATTAAATCTAAGCTGAGAGGCTTTGTACACGTCTACAGAAATGGCCTTTATCCAAAAATAATATAAAAGTATATCTTACAACTGGTGCATAAGGATCATAATTATCAACAACTGGGAAACCATTGTGAGTTTCATATTGCAAAATCTGCATAATACGGTCAACTCTTTCAACAGTTCGAAGGACAGTCACTGGATGGCTCATCACTTCACTAAATAAAAAAAAAAAAAAAAATGAAGACATAAACATCAAGAATTAAAATTTCATTAAGAAATGAAAAAAATGTAAAATAGTACTAAAAAGACAAATGAGACAGGTAATCAAATTATTTTTTAAACAAATTAAAAGGCTAGGATTACAATATATTTTTTTTTTAACAAGAACAAAGGGCAATTAATTTAGCAGACAATCACTATTTTGAAAAAGAAAATAATTAAAATACAGTCCTTTTTACTGATATTTGATAAAACATGATTTTAATTAGAGTTACTTCACTAATGATAATGGATTATATATAGAAATATCGTACATTTCCTATGCTTTCTCATTCTGACTTATGGTCTAATATAAATTATTTATTCATATTTAATAAATTCTAAATAAAATATGTTGTGCTTTTTGTATAGATTTAATCAGGATTTTCTTCAATTCTATAAAATACTAAAACATTTTCTTTTCTTTTAAGAACAACATTTTAAAAACCATCATTTGCTATTGTGTATAAATTCTTGATTTTCTTTATAATTATTTCAATTATTTTCATAATTGCCATTTTGGCTGTAATATTCTTTTGTCATTTTTATATCTGAACAAAGCAGTTTCACATTTTTTTTTGTTTACCATGTTTCTTCAGGACACATAGGAGGTTATAGCTCTCCATAACTTTCTGTCCCTTGTAGCTCTAAATAAAATTTCACTTTACCATTATTCTTTGTATCTGCTATAGAACCCATTGCATTCACACAAGCTCGTTACGTAAGCTACTTGCTGCTTCTGATTTTAAGTATAAGTGTTCTGTTCATTTCAATTTTCTTTAGAACTTCCTTATTGCTCACATGTTCCGTGAATGTTTTATATTAAATAGTAAAAATAATGAATTCCAGAAATACAGGAAATTATAAATACATCTAGTAAAGACAACATAACACTATGTAATGACAGACTATAGCATAACAAATCATTTTTTTTTGCACTCATAAAGAGAAATATACAATTTAAATGTGTATCAGATCTGTGAGTTTTGAGATTGCATATTACAAGTGAACCAGGTGACAATTTTTGATCCAATCACAAAACAAAATGTACATGTTTATAAAAATTTAATTAAGTTTATATTTTATGTCAACTTTTAAAGGGATTATTTACCCAGTTTAATATAAAACAATGAATTTAAAAAATATATAAGTGCCAATGTTGATCATCAAAACAGTAAGTAAAAGCATTCAAATTTATCAACTGCTTTTGTTGAAGCATGATTGCTTCTTCATGCATTAACATGTGAAATCTGTAGTAATGCTTTACCACTACAATACTCTGATGTCTAATTAACCAAAAGAATTACACAACATCTAAATAGAATAAGGCTGATCAGATGAGCAACTTTGTATTGGTCATTTGCTGTTTTTCACTGCTAATTTGTTCTGTTATACAGTGAAATTTACCCCAAATACCCACGGATAGTGGGCAAGTGGTCCAGGATCAACAATTTTTATCACAGAGCTACAGAAATAATCATGAATGGTTGAATTTAAACTTTGCTAACATAGGATTAAATAAAAATCAGTTGCTCATTTTTTTCATTCTTAACTGACTTGCTTTATTCTGTTTAAAAATTACAAGTATATTTTTAGTAGTAATCAACAAGATCCTTTTATATTAACTATTAATAACACTTTCATGTCAGTATTGCTTTTTATCAAAATGCTCAGGTAATTTTTACAATTGCTAAGTAAATAGTCTGGATAGAAAATAAAGAAGGTACTTCTACTAAGGTTTAAACTATTATCCCTTATCTTTAAGAGTTTGCTATGGATAGTACTTTACCAGTCAGACTATAGCTACTTAATGGTCATAGAATGTAAAATCTGAATATCATAGTAAAAAGTAATAAATATGAGAACAAATACTAACCAGATAATACTGAATACTTTATCTAAGAAATTCAAACAAATTAAGACACTGTCAAATGTTAACAATCAACAAAATCAAAAAGAAATGCTAGTCAAAGTTTAACAACAATATTTCATCTAACAAATTTGAATAATCGATATTTCTAAGGTAGGTAAAGTAGACAACTTACTTGGCACTCATGCAGGCTGCAAAGTACGATGGTTCCCATCCTAAAAGAGGAACCCCTCCCAAGTGAATGTGAATATCATAAATTCCCTATAAATAAAAATATCAAATATATTTTAAAACATTTTAGTGAAAAATCATATACAAAAATAAGAGAAAAAAAACAAAGTAAACAATGTTTTAAAAGTGTATCAGACTAGCTGATCTCTCATTAGGCCAAAAGCAAGAAATTTCTTAAAATCTCAATATGTTTCAGATTAAGAAAAGAAAAAAAAAACAGAAACACTTAGTATTCAGGCATATCTTACAAATAAAAATTCATCTGTTTCTCAAATAGTCAAACCTGGGTGAAATTTAGAGTAACCCATACCTATCAGCAGAAGTCCATCAAATACTGCTACATCATAGAAAGCACATTCAGAATAAAAGGACAAAAAAGCCATAGCATGTTTAGCTGGTCTCAAAATTTGCACCGAGATTAATTTTATCAATTCAAAGGTTATTCAGTGTCATATCTAATTTTGTTTTCTGTTAATGTTTCTCTCTTAAAATATTAATTCTTATAATTTCAGAGCAATTGTTTCTAATTCCTTCTGTTAATGTGTTCAGTGCCAAAGGAGATCAACTAATGTTTTTGTTACTGTTAAACACCAAACAACGTTAATCCTTCCCTCACATTATGTAGCTACCAATTTATTCCTTTAGTTACTAACCTCATTAAAGAAATCTCCAATCCATTTTGCCATGATGATAGTTAACATAATCGGAAGACCATAAGAAATGTTGGCAGTAGCTTCAATGATGATAACTGTTAGACTAATTGTCATCCGCACAACTCCTCCTAAAACAAAATCAAATATTCTTTTTATAGCCAGTATATGCAATGGTTGAAAATGTAAAGGCTAACATAAAATCCTCTTCTCTTTGAAACATTTAATCATGTAAAATACTTATTAAAATAAGCTAAAATAAGAATTATATAAAATTTGAAAGAAAAAAAGTAGACAAAAGCTGAAACACAGACTATGGCTGAGTTAACTAACACCTTTTATTTAAAAGAACTGAATTAAAAATGTTGGTAAAATATGTTTTTACAATCCAGAGAAAGACAGTTCACAGACTAGTAGTTAAAGGCATTTTCTATTCCAGAATTAGCTCTCAATTTGGGATAACAACCAGGAAGGTTGACAGACAACTTAATTATGTAAAGTTACAAACTGTAAGGACAAATGGAGATTTATATTTTGAGAATCCAAAAATAGGTAGAACCTTGAATCAACAGGCACATATCTAAATGAGAGACCTAAGATTGTTTATATAACTTCCATTCTGCCAAAAAAAAAAAAAGGGGAAAGTTATAGAAATAGAAGATTGAACTAGAATTGGAAAACCAGATATCTTAAGGTTTACCAAATGTTGATAGAAAGCTAGAAGTATATATGTGTGATAAGTAAAATAAATGAGTAGAAATGGACAATTTATCACATCCAGAAGCCCTGGCATGAATGAAGTCATAGGCATTCTGGGTGAAATCAGTAAAGGAAATCATAACAATAGGTCTTGAACAAATATCTTTACTACAAAGTGGTCGGAACAGTTACAGAACAAAGGTACAATAAAGATATCTGGATGTAAGATTAGTATAACTACACATATTCTTCCTCCATCTTGACATATATTATTATCTTGTTGAATTGCATGTTAATTAAAAAGATATCAACCTGGATATTGTATTATCTAAAATAAAACAGTTTTCACATTTTTTATCAACACAAAGAAAAAAAAAAATAACCTGGACTCCACCAATTTTGTTTGTGGGACAAATGTTCCATGAGCCATAAATATTATGGGGAATTGAATGTAAGATTCCCACATGGTGGATGCAGACATTGTAATAAATAAAGAATAGAATGTGACTGACCTCCGATTTATACAAGTTGTATTAAAATGTTTATAATCTGAGCAAAATTCATTTAAGTTGTCAAATATTATGGTAAATTTGCCAAATTGTGGTTAAGTCTGTCACAAGCTGACTTTAAATCACAATATGTCTGCAATATTAAGTTAAATTTGCATTAAGCAGCAAAATATAAATTTTTTTTCATTAAGTTTGCAAAATATGGGAAATGGAAGTGGGTCCCATATAAGATTCCCATGTGGTGGATACAGACATTGTAATAAATAAATAGAACACGAGTGACCTCTGATTTATACAAGTTGTATTAAACAATATTACAAATAAGTCCTTGCAAACTTAATGGTGTCTGTGACCAAACTTATCTGCTGAAAAAAGTCAATGTTTTCACCATCTACAGACTTTGTGGTGATAACGGTGTAGAGCTGGCTGGTTCTGCAAGTGTTCATTTTGTAGGTCTTACCAAGAGTGAGTGTTCTTCAAAAAGAGGTAGAAAAGTGTGTCAATCAGCAACTGTAAGCTTAACTGCCAAGGGCAGATAATCATATTTCTTATAATATTTATTTCATATCTCAATATTTACTATAAGTTGTCCATACACCTTGAAAACAAAGATGTGATACCACAACAAATTCAAGACTTTGATGATCAGCCAGCCTTTAAACCATAATACCAGTGCAGTGGATAGTGTAATATTTAAATATTTTTGTAACAGGCAAACACTGTATGATTGCTTGCTTGTATCCAAGTGTATCTCCCTGCTAGGATGGCTAGCTAATCCCAGTTGCAGATACCTGCTCAGACAAACTTGTTTTGTTCAACACCCACAGTGACAACTTGTGATTTTATACCGCGACTATACTGAACAGACCTTACAGTTTCCGAGAGAGAATGCGTAAGCTGAAGTGAACAACAGTTTAAATAAACTCAGTCACAATGACTTGTCACTATGTGATAGCACAACTATCAACAGCTCCCAAACAGTTTTGTCTATCCAATTTCACTCACAAGTTTTGGCTCAAGCCATGCTATAATTTTCAGGTACTTTTCAGAGTACAACTAGGTCAATATTATCAAGAAGTCACCTCCTTGACAGATCAACTATGTTAAGGTGTGAATCTTGGTCTAATGGTTGGAATATGCCCACTCACTAAAAAAAGTAGGCTTGTAAATACTGTATACTGATAATTAAAAAAATATGCATAACCTATTTGTCACATTTGCAATAACATTTTCAGCCATAATCTTACTCTTAAAGAATATATAGAAATCTGTGCACTTACCCAGCATAGCAGCAGCACCTATTAATGCATATTTACCTGGATCAGCAAATTTCTGAAATAAAAATAAGAAAATAAGAAATAAATGAAGAAATTTTATGATCAAAATATTTTTATACAGAAACACCATTTTTAACAAACTACAATTCTAGTTTATATGAAACAGAGTTTAATTAAACATTACCATTGAAATGACACTTATTTCTTAAGACAAAATAGGCAACGCTTATCAATGTTCCATGAAACTTATGGTACCAATTCCACAATGAGTGTACCCAGCTAGTTTTATTTACTTTAAAATTTTACTTACTGTTCCAGGGAAAGTGTTTCTCAAAGTCAGTCCCAAAATTCTACCCCATGCTCCACCAATCAAAAAGCAAGGGATGAAAAGTCCACTGGGGATCATCAGACCATATGTCCAAAGGGACATAAAGAAATAACACAGACAAATAAAGAACAATGCCAAAGGGCTGAAGGAGGCTATATAAAAAAAAGAAAGAAAATTACATAAGACATTTCATGAAACAATATCCAAAGATAATTTTAAGCTTAAACTATTTTTCAGTGTGAACAGAAAAGATTGCAATGTTTCTTTTTTTCTGCTACAATCACAATTCCAAATTTAAAAAATGTGCACATCTATAAGCCAGTGTGCATTGCATTACACAAATCCTGTCATGCTATGTTTTTGTCCATATCTAAGAGTGCAGACCAGATAAACTCTTCAAATTTTGCAGACATAATCCTAAAATATGTCCATATAAAATGATATAATTTAAAAGTTGCTCTTATGAAAGTAGGTATGAATGCATTACAAACTGTAAAATAAGACATTTTTCAAAATATTTTAAAACTTATTACAATAATTTAGTCTTTACAGTTTAATTGTAAGAAACTTGCATAAAGTTAGTCATACAAATTATTTTTGTGTACTTAAAGCAGGTTTTAGATCCAATTTTTATCATCCCAAAACAACTTTGTTTATGGCATGACCAAAATCTGTAGACAGAAAAATTATTTATCTGAAAAGATTACTTTTTTACTTAAAATGTAGTGAAAAGTAAATTCGTTTACATCAGGTATCTATTATTTGTCAATCCAATTGAAAAGTCAAATGAATATTGAGTCAGCTTTTCTTCCTAATACTGAAAGTCTGCTCAAATTTACAAATATCTTGTGAGACAGTGGAAGTATGGATGGACAAAATTGATAAAACCTGATATTATCCACAAAATCAAAAGTATATTTCAAACACTATTGTCTTATGACATACATTTGTTTTATTTCAAAGAGAGAAATGGGGTAAATAGTTGAAATGAGGTAATTGTATAAAGAATTACTTCATGTGTTTAGAAAAGTGTTACAAAATGTAAACAACAAGTGTGTAACTGCAAGTGTTGCATAATGCCAAATGGTGGCAAAAAATGAAGATTGGAGGGCAAATCTTTCAAGTGGGATGTGTGTGTGTCTGTCTTGAAAATCAACATTTGATATTCTGGCATTTGCCTGGATTGGTAAATGCCAGAATATGTTTATTTTCAAGACAAACACACACACGTTCCACTTGAAAGATTTGCACCCCCAATCTTCCTATCATTATCTTTGCCAATTTGATCTTGTCCCATTCTAAGCTAAACATGGTGGAGGGAGTGTAGAAAACGCGCAAAGCAATGGTAAGAAAATACTTATAGCAAGTAATACAAAGATGCTGATCCTCACATTAAAAAAAGGCTTGTGCCACATTTGGAATGAGTTGACATTCTGTTAAATTTCTGATCACTGGTCTATAAAGAAGCATAAAAATAAAGCAATTTATTACATCCACATCCTCAGAAGAAAAGAAGTGTGTGATGAATTGATTATGATGGCATTGTATGAAAATTATGCTTGCTAAATTGGTGCACTGTCAAAACCAATATTATTGGTGTTTCATAAAACCCATTATTACATATTTATTGTGTGCAAAACATTACAAAAACCTAATTTTTTTTGCAGAGCCATCTTTTCTTAATTTTAATCAAAACTGTATACTCACAAGTTTGTTCATGAAAAAGGTTTTTTACTATTTCTTCAGGAGTTTGAAGTATCATGGTTGCTGTTGCACTATACTGTCCATCATCACAAAAAAACTGGAATGACAAGTTTTAGAAATTTGAAAATACTTTCTGCCTGAATTTCTGGTACAAGGTTTTATCGTTATTTACATTTGGATTATTGTCTTCATCTTTGTTGTTTTTATCACAACATTTCACTCATTGTGCACTCTGGCCTTCTTTAGGTGTGTTAATCTGGATATGCTTCAGAGAAATTCAAACTCAACCCTTTTATTTATTCTTCAGAGGCATATCGTTTTCATTCCACTATTTATGTCTAGTGATATCTTGTCTTGTTCCCATTTAGTACTGTTCAGTTATTGCTTACCCTGTTTCTACTGAGTGTGAGTGTACTACCTGCACCAAGGATTGAACTCATGATTACTATGCCACCACATTCACAAACTAATGCTTTAATCCATCATGCTTTTATCTCATGGGACATTGGAGATGAACAAGAATAATCTATCCTCATAGAATAAATAAAGGGTTTAGTTTGAAATTCACTGATGGTTACCAGATAGACAGATGCCTGATGAAGGACAGAGTGCAAAACAGCTGAAACATTGTGATAACAACAATAAAGTTGATGACATTAGCTCAAATGTAAATAGGTGTAAATATTGAAAATACTTTATTATAACATGAACAAAAGACCTGAGAAACTATAACAAAATATGTCGCTAACAAATTGTGACGTTTCATTCATGACTAGAGAATTATGTCACAAAAATCTGAGTCATTCAATAAATTCACGTCATATATCCACATTAAATGAAATACTGTACTTTGAAAGCTATTGCCTTCTTTCTGCACCACTATTCCCCCACCATTGTTCTTTTGCCACTTTTTGGTCTTCAACTGTTTACTCCTTTGCCATTTCCATTATCAAACCATTGCTTGTTGGCCTTGTTTTTTTTTTGTTTTTTATTTACTGAGATCAATGTCAGTAAAACTGGTGAGTTTGACTACTACTGGAAACTGATGTCAGCCACAATTAAGGCAAGGTGAGGTACAATGATGTTCTAAAAACTGCAGATTCCTTACATGTCTTTCTAAACCTTTGAAAAAGTGTTGCATGGCAGTTTTCTTGTGCTATGATTTTGGGGCTGTGTTGAATTGATAAAAAACAATCTTTAGATATTTGTACACAGATTTATTCAACCATATATGTGCCATTTTCCCCCCCGCTATCTTTTGCCATCTTTGAGACAGCTTCATGATTCCACCTCATCAAAATATGACATCTTTCATTTTGTTATACTAGAACATACCTATTCTATTGTAAATAGACTCTCCCACATATAATAAGTAGTAGTAGTAGCAGTTGCCAGGGGACTCAGTGAGTTGGTGAGTCAGTGGATGTCGGACATTGAAGTATCAACCACCACAACTAGATTGCTGCGTCATTAACTATTATTTCAAGTTCCTAACGTTTTGTATGTCGAACCTTTTTTAGGACCAACTGAGTGAAATACAAGCCTCCACTGTGAAAACCACTCTACAACAGTGATGAAATGGTCTAAGTGGTTTTTATAAGCTTCCAGAAGATTTAAGAATTTTGCAGAGGTTTAAATAGGTGATAATCTGAAGGTGCAAGGTCAGGTGAGTATGACAATTTAGTAGGATATTTTGGCCAAGCTCTATCAATTTCTGTTGAGCCTGCAAAGAGATTTGAGGTTTGATATTACCCTGATGGATGACAACATCACTGATTGGCCAATTTAGGATGCTTTTCATTGATTAATCAGCCCAATTGGGAACAATACTTATCTGAATTCAACATCTGATTTTGTGGAAGGAAAACATTGCCCTTCCAATCCCACCAGATACACAGCATCACCTTCTTTGGATACAGACTGGCTTATGGAATAGTTAATGGGAACTCATTTTATTTCCTCCAGGAAATCTTTTGATCCGCATTGTTGCAAGGTCTGAGATTGTCCTTTTCAAAAATGGGTTTTGGTTTTGCTGCATTTGAGCAAAGAATTGCAGATGGAAATGCAAATTATTAAATTTTTGTTTTGTTAAGTTTTGAAGAACTCAAACATAATATAGCAATTTACATACATGGAGTATCTCTGTAGTGTCTCAAGGTTGTGCTGTGCAAACTGAATTATTTTTGATCAACATTTTGATCTGATCACCGAATGCAGGCCAGAACATGCTTAGACTTTCAGATCAAAATTTCCACTTCTGAACCTTGTGAATCACTTGATGATACTCTCAGTTATGGCACCACCTCCATAAATGGCATGTGTTTTTGCTGTTTTGACAACATTTTGCTTTCCAGAAATAAGAGCATTAAATGACAAAAATACATCTCATTTTCATCCAGTGTCACTTTTAACATAAAAACATATAAAAGTCAGTCGATATACAACTCATATAGGAAGATGAGTCGATATGTCACATTTCAGAATACGCAGATATGTACGTCAAATTTCAATCATATGTAAAACAAAGGCACATGCTTAAACATCAGCTATTGACGAAGGCTACAAAGTTTTGTTTCAAACCAATGAGTTATGAGTTCCTAGTGTTGAATTTTATGTTGTCAGGGCAAAATAGAGATCAAGTCCAGCAATTTCAAATGGCCAATGTTTATAGTCTCAGACAAGTGCAATTCATGTTAAAGTTGAAGGATCAGCTTGTCACACTGGTGCATAAAGCATATACATGGAAATCAAAAAAAAGACTTGACTTAGTTGAACTGTGGTGCTAAATATATTGACATCAGTGGTCATTAAAGACCTGCGCACAACTGCTTATTGACCACTTTCTCCAAAGTCCCCAAAATCAAATAACAAATGAACATTTCTTGATTAGGCAATCATTTTTTTTTTTTTTTTTTTTTTTAAAATCAGCTTTATCTCCTTCTTTGCTTATTTTACAGCAAACAAAAATCACTTAAACATTTTTAATCGTTTTTATAAACATTAATTTTGTTTCATTAATGAAACACATGATACACATGTGCAGATTCTTTCATGAACATGACTGAACTACAAAGGAACACAGCGTGGGGAATAACAGTATGATGTATACTCATGATTAATTCAAAGCTCAAATCTTCAGTGGATATTGTGCCAATTATTGAGTTGGTGCATAATTATCAGGCGTTTTTGTAGGAGAGTTATTTAATAAAAACTACTGTTTTGTTTACTTTTTTTAATAAAAATGTTTTATTTTCAGGTTATAAAAATGCGTATTGATAATATTTTCTTTGATGAAAACAAAATGGGAAATGAAAACAAGCTATGAACCCTTTTTCTTAGGGTCAAATTTATGAAAACAGATCCTGTAGTTGATGAGAAGGTGATCTGATTTATGTTTTCACTGGATATAAGTCCAAGAATGGAGAGATAATTTTATCTCTACCTTTAGGAAGCAAGAGAATTAAAATTAATGATTAGAATAAACTATGCCTTTCTCCCACACGATTTAAAAATTAGATTTGTCATAAAAACAGTTATGCCAGCCCAGAGAGGTAGGCTAAGGTGGAATGTTGAGAAGGAAAGAGGAAGAGGGAGGATTTGACACTGCCTGTGTGGGGTGGTGGTGAGAGATGCCAAATGAAGCAGGTTGGAGTTAGGGGGAGGAGCAATCACTATAACTACTCCCGAGAAGGTGGATAATTTACCAAATTTGAAAAGTTTAAGAAAGCAGAAATAGGGAACAAAGAATCCTTATTAGAATTAACATGGAAATTGAAAAATTAATGAATCCTAAGAATCCTTTGGCTCCACACCAGTTATGGGCTGAAGTGCATATTAGATAGCTTTGACAGCTCAAAGACTTGGGCTGAGAATCCCACATTGAGTGCCTCTGGAATCCATGTCAGCTGCCACCAGATTTCCTGATTCCAATGAATGATTCCTGATTTTGAATGCCGAATTATTAAGCAAAGAACACAATGTCACTATAGAGAATGATGCAGGAAGGGTTAATTATTGTTGTACCAAGAAATATATAACTGAAGATTAACCCAATGAATCTTTCGCTTTTATTTTTCGTTGTGAAGATATTTCTTCCTTAATATGGCACCTGCCACGGCTTGATCCAGCGGTGCGATTACGATGACATTCGATCTTCCACTGCTGAGATCAAGTACACAAAATGAGTAGATTTGGTGTGGATCAAAGTGGCCAGCAACCAATAAACCAGCTTGGACCAGCGTCCGTATTGCCCAATAAAGAGTTAGCCCTGTGGCTAAAACATTGTCCTAAGACCCTGAAGACCAGACCACTAAATGTAGTTACACCATCAAGTGTAGGAAGCAGTAAAGGGCATTGTAATGATGTAATGGTTAACAAGCCTGTTTATAATGAGTTTGATTCTTGCTAGACACTCATGGCTTCGTGCCAGAAATAAACAATGCTTAGTAAACATTTCTTACCTGAATATTGTATTGAGCAGGAGCTTCTTTCATTGGTTGACAGTCTTGAAGATGATAAATAATAAGGAAGCATAAGGCAGCTGTTACCATGGATACAATGATGGTTTCTAAAACTTTCAAACTCTTTTTTATATATCTACAATAAAGAAAAAGAAAATTGGTGAAGCTTTTTATTAAGCATTTTCATAATCTTAACTTATTTTAATATGCAGTGAGTGTGAAATAACAACTCCCTACACCCACTCTGTGATGAAAGACATGACTTACCTTAGAGTTCAAAATGAGTGCGAACGTGTCTTGCCTGCAAAGTAATGTCAAAAAGAAACATGGTCGCTATTGATGATGCAATTTATGTGCACATATCTCATCCAAAACAAGATGATATTTGCACACATGCAAATTTTGGCCGTATCAGACTGGCATAAAAAGTGGGGTGCCAGCAGCACGACTCAGGTCGGGAGTCATTCGGTGGACTGCATGCAATAAAGCTGGACATACGAATTGACAGACGGACAAAGGGGAAGTCAAAGTAGGTGCAGCTGAGTTGATGTCTGTTTCACGACTGCCCAGTGTAATGGCCAAGTAAGGGAGTCATGCAATCCATTTCCTTGAGGTGACTGACGATGAAGGAAGAATAGCTGGTCTGCCAGCAAACGGCACACTGCACTTTCTGACCCCCACCTCTCGTCACCACTTTTTTCTTTATGACACACTACATTCAAATTCAGAGGAGTGAGGAAGAAGAAGGAAAGAAATTCTCAAGCCTATGTGAAAATTTTGTCTTTCACAGAAATTAACCGGTGAACAGAGAAGAAGGAAAGAAATTTGTGGGCCTACAGGAAATTTTTTTTGACCAATGAAAACTTTGCCTTCACAGAAATTATCTGGCGAGTCAAGAATGAAGGAAATTAGCAAGACCATGTGAAATTCTTTTTGATATAAAATAAGAAAAATTAAATTTATTAAATGAGTGTCTGAAGTTATGTGAAAGGTTTCATTTCAGTTCCTCGCAACCAGCATTGAAGTACTCACCAGTGTAAAATTACTTACCAATTATATTATCAACCTTTAACTAGCACACAGCACTTCAAAGAATTTTCTCTCAACAATCTAAGTTTCATGTATTTTTGAACGTATGCAAACCATATATCACTTTGGTGAGCAACAAACTCTCTTACCTTTGTCTTAAACATTTTGGAATATTATTTAATCTATACTATGAACCTTTACTCTTTATAACAATAAGTTAAAATTATGGGCTTTAAGAATTCTGATTTATTTTCCTGAAACAAGGTAATGACAATACTTTAAGCATGTAAATTCCTTATATTGTTTTAAGCATGTAAATTCCTTATCTTGTTTTGTTAAAATTATCCATGTGTTGCATCATTATCATCCCTCATTAATCTTCTTGGTGTGGGTAAATTAACTGTTCATTTTAACCCCATGCCACTATAAACATACATTTAATATGCATTAAATGAATAAGGCTTCATTTTTTATTTTAATTATATTTGGTAACATTTGTTATCATAAAGAAATATCAAATATTCATGTTTTAGTTTTATCCTTTAGCAAAATAAAGAAAAAAATTCAATGGTTGTAAAACATTAAAATCAAATTATCCTTTGAAATAGATCATCAGTCATAGCATTTTGCAGGTATTAATTGGCAGTATCCATTTTCTCTCTAAGTAACATTCATAACAGGTTAATGATACTAACACAGAAAAAAAATTAAAATCACTGAGCTAACCTACTGAAAATCATATTAAAGGAAACAATCAACCATGAAAAAATTAAATTCTTGGATACAAGATAAAGCTGACAAACTTATTGAGGAAGGTAAATTCATTCCTTTGTCAAGCACTTCCATTCAAAATAAACAAAACTACTTCAGCCAAAATTTGCTGTTTCCAATTTAAGTCAAGCATGCACCTTCCATATAAACATATTAAACAAAATCAAAGCTAACAGCAAAAGTTGCATTTATATATCATCCTTACACAATTCTTATTAGTTATGCTATCTCTAAATCAAAGGCAAAACATTATATGTAGGGAACATTAAGACAGTCCAAAAACAGTAAAGCTTTATTTGAATATGGTAATTAGAAAGAATAAAAATTGATGCCGTTTACATATACGATAATATAGACTCAAATGACAAGATTATATATGATAATTCATACACAAACACTTCCCTGTAACAAGCAATCTCCACATGATAGTCAACAAAAAAACAGTAAAAATCAGCTACATTTGCAGTGAGAATATGAATGACACTAATAAAAAAGCACAACAACTGACAAACCACCTGCACAAAATCAAACCCATGTGTAATGGCAGAACAAATGTCCCTTAAATGGCAATTGCTTTCAGAACAATGTAATATATCAAGCCACTGTAAAGTCAGCAAATTAAGAAAAAAATACATAGGAGTAACTGATGGAGGGTAACTACACATGCAAAACATCCTTTACAAAGTAAATAATAAATGAATTAACAAACTATGAATGCATGCATAAACACAAGTAAACATAACAACCAACAATAAAATAATAAAAAATGTTAACAAACAACACTATAAAATAGCCACAAAACTGCATCCAGAACCACAATTATTTCCACTCAATAGCCCCTAGAATAATTGAAAACAATCATTACCGTCCACCCAAATAACCATTAGAATAATACAATAGGTCTACCGATAATGCATGACTGATCAGTATATATGAATAGTTGAGCCTACACACTCGCACATGGCCTGATGAACATTGAGGAGTTTATCAACCCAGCCCTCCACAAAAACTGTACATATGGAATTAGGTAAGGATTTTTAGAGCAAATGTGGCATTATGGTATCTGTGTAAGGAGTTTTGTGTAGATGATATTGTTTGGTGAAAGGAACAATATAGAAACGACTGGATCAGTGATTGAGGCCAATTAAGTTATTGATAGTTCAAGGGAGGTTCAGCCTGCCCCCTTCCCCATCTTGCCCTTGTAGCATATTTGTACATTTGTGTGATAAATATCTGGCCTGACGATTGTATTTAAGCATGAAACACAGTCGCCACTGGGTGTTGACTTTAATGTCCACACACACACTATATATATAAATAAATAAAGGATATAAAATTATCTGGCCAGACTGGAGGATTTTAAAGTGCTCAATACACAATTCTAAAACATTGAATGTGTAGAATGGCTAATACTGATATAAAAGATTGAAAAATTCACTGTTAACACAAACAAACTAAGAAATCTGCAAGTATGATTTAATAATACACAGAGATAACCGTGTCTCTGAGAAAAATCGACAATAATGTCAGATATCTTTAGAAGTTCTTGCAAATATGTATTCAACTCATGGTAGCAATTTCACCAACATCAGCTCAACAACTTTACAAATCAATGCTTCTTCTATTAAAACTTTGTGCACCAACATCATCCATGCACAGAAAATGAACTAGGCCTTCCAAATAAAATCAATTCAATGTAGAACATTGGAAAATAAAATTTTAATAGCAAATGCTGATACCTTTCTTTCTACATTACTGACGTATCTTCTGGGGTGTGTTATGACTAACCCACTAAAAAATTATATGGCACCCTTGACTCTTTTTCTTTTCAGCCTATGAAAGCTGAAACATATATGCACAAACTTTTATATACATATGGTCAGAATAAAATTCTCCCCATCTGGAGGGGAGTATTACTTTCCTAAAAAAAAAAAAAAAAAAAAGTTGCTAGGCGATGCTTGTTAAGCCTATAAATAGGCAGTGACATTCTCTGTCATTCTCTTTTTTTCCTATTTTACTGAGGGATGGTAAAATGTAGGTTGAACAAGGAAAATGCTCTCCCTACAGGTGAATGGTGAATGCACATTTCACTTCATTTTCTCTAGGATTTTCTACAACAAAATACACACACACAAACACATTCTTCAGTCTTGAAATTTCTTCATTCATATTTATTGTTTTGTCACAATCTTCAATTGTCTATGTATACTTTTCTTAATACAGACATTATTATATATATATATATATATATATATATATATATATATATATATATTTACTAGCAGTAGAGCCCAGCATTGCCTGGGGCTGTAACAGTAAGAGATAGATCAAGTATCGACTATCATAAAGACTGAAAAATAAAATTGACAAAGATTATTGTTTAAGGTTGACGGACACGCATGTCTTAATTATTTTTTTTTTTTGTTTTTTTTTTACGAATTGGTCAAACCCAAACTCAAACAAAAACATTGTTTTCAATCGTTATGAGTCTCTACTGGTTGAATAGAATTTTATTATAAACAATTGTCTTGGAAATGGAATTTTTAAAGCATTCTGAATGTAAAAACAAAGAAAAAAGTGTGCAAGACAATAAGAAACACTACCTGCCAAAAAAAAGTGAAGTTTTGTTGAAATCGGTTGAAAAATGTAGGAAATCCGATCCCATATATAAGCAAACACACACACAAACAACCTGAGTTTTATAATAAGTAAAACTCGATATGAGTTTTCCCCCCTTTCATTCCATGAAAGCGATCGTGTTTTCAAATTGTGTTTTTCCAATTTTTGGCGCTGTCAGAACCACCGCAAGGTAATTTTACGTAGTCCTGTGAAGTTTTGTTGAAATCGGTTGAAAAATGTAGGAAATCCAATCCAATATATAAACGTACAGACACACACACACAACCTGGGTTTTATAATAAGTAAGATATATATATATATATATAAAATAAAGTTTTATTGTTACTTTGTCATTTTGTTACCCAAACTCATATTCCGAGTTTGCCATTTTTGTTGTGGAATAAATATACCAGTAGACACATTTTTCTGACCCAAACATGACTATCCCTCCCACAACAAACTTCAAACTAAATTGATGTTTACAATATGCGACATATATATATATATATATATATATATATATATATATATATATATATTATTGTTTGACTGAGCTGAGATTTCGAAGTTAATAGGTCTACATATGTGAAATTAACAAAACTGTTCATATAAACAACCACAGTTTGTATATGGATGGCGGTCTGGTGATAGTGCCAAACAAGAGAAGAACAAATGGCACTATTAACTACGTTAGTCTCAAGTTTGTGGTCAGCTTCATCATTGGCCAGGGTGATGTGGCGGTGAACCTGCTTTAGCAGGGCATTAATTTGCATTCCATATGCTCCAGGATTGTCACTTACGATTTCTTTTCTGTGTAGTGTAGGTAGGCCGATGTTTTGGTGACGGCCAGTAATGGCATAGTGCAGGAAGACATCGGTGGTGCTGTTGGTCATGGCATTCATGGACGAAACGACAGATTCTAGAACATCTGTCCATTCACAGTTCCTGTCTTCGCATAACATATATAGTGCGTTCTTCATCGTGCGATGTTGTCTCTTGATATTTCCTGAGCTTTGCAGGCGCCAAGGACAGTGAGGTTCTTGTGTGATTGACATCTGGTTACAGAATTGTTGATAGACTTCTCCAGTCAGATCAGAGGATACTATGCGTGGAATCTCTGTGTCAAAGGAAGAAATGGTACAATCCACGGGCGGCATCGATAGCCTGATCTCTCGCACATGGTATGGCTGTAAAATGTCGGCTGAAGCTATCCAAGATGGGTAGGATGTAGCGTTTTACCTTTGAGTTGGGCATTGTGACAAAGTCTATAAAGACGAGATCGAATGGTCTCTTTCCTCGTTTACAGTGGCCAATGGGCCAGTGGGTACGTCTACCGTAGTTGCCCTTGCACTTAGCACACATGTCGCAAGAATTGACATAGATCTTGATGTCACAGTTTTTGAATTCCCGCCAGTAGCTGGAAAGGAGTTCTTGCATACGGGTAACACCTGAGTGGTCGTTGCCCTAGTGTGCCTGGTAGAGGTATCTGGATCGTAGTTTGTATGGTACAACCAATCTCAGAGAGTGTTTACTGTCTTATCATCAGAACGGAGGTGCCTGGTTCTAGAAAAAATTGGTGCAAATGTTTTTTGAAAAGCGTAGCTCGGTGGTTGTCAGGATCGATATAAGGTTTGTTTGGAGTGGGTGACTGGAGGGCGCTGATGATCTTTGCCAGAGCGTCGTCCTTCTGTTGTTCATTTGCGATGCCGAGGTGGTTGCAGATTCTCTCAGTGGGGATGGTGGTGGTAGAGTGATAGGCGAAGAATGCGTTGGTGATGCACTTGTGGGTGCGGGCGTTTTGTGGTGTATGAGTTTTGGGGATGAGCTGTAAACCGTTAAACTCGCCGAGGCACCAAGATGGGATGTATACGCGGAGGTCTGAACCACTTACCTCGAATGTCCTGCCTGCTGGTGTAGGGTTGTTCGGGGCTTTCATTTTCTTATGTCCGCAACCTCTGCTGAGCATGTCAGCCCATACATTTGATTCACCTTCGACATTCTAAGACGAATTTATAACATGAAATTTCTTCTTGTCATCGTCGTATTTTGGCATTATTGAACTCTCATTGGTCCATATTTCTCTTGCTGTATGCTTCTGACACCAGTGTCATAGACAAGCGTATAGTTGCAAGAAAGAAATACGACAACAGCAGAAATAGATTTACGTGATTTATTTCAATAGGAACGTGAGGGTTTGGGACAGCTACCTTGTGGTATAGTTCATAATCCGGCTGCCGATCTGGGCTGATCTCTCATAGTAGTTCTCACTGGTTGGCATGGCGCTCACCCTGCTGACTGCTGCCGACTGCCCAGACTGACCGTGACAGAAAGCATTTTTATTGGTCGAGAAATAGGAACACTTTAAAATATTATTTTTCGACCAGAACTCGTGTGTCGGGCCTATGCGTAAACGACGATAATGGTCATTTTGTGATGGGGCCTTGTCCCATTCACATCCGGCTCTCACTCTTGAGTATGTTAGTTTATTTGCCTGTAAATCAACTGAGATATGTCTTATTTTATTTTATAACAGGTACATGGCAGCAGCCCCAAAAAACTGAGATAGGCGGGTACAAGAGGAGGATAACAACACTCAGGAAACAGTCTGCCTGCCTTATGTGAAAGGATTATCAGAGAAAATACAAAGGATCTGCGGTCCATATAACATTAGGACAACCTTCAAAAGCTTGATGACACTTCGCAGATATCTCTCCCAAGTAAGACCCCCTATAGAGGAGAACATGACTAAAGACTGTTTTACGCTATCCCGTGCAGCTGCAGAAAGAAATATAAAGGGGAGACAGGCTGCCCCCTTAAGGTAAGGCTTCAAGGACACCAAAAAGCTGTAACATGAGGGGAAGTGGAAAAATTAGGTGTGGCTGACCACATATGGAGAGAGAAGGGAGATCACTACCCTCTGTGGGATCAGGTCGAGATCATAAACAAAGAACACCATTGGAAAATTTGTAAACTTAAGGAATCAGCACATATGCTAGGCCACCAAAATTTCCTGAGCCAACCAAGCATAGAAATGAATACAATATGGGAACCAGTAATAAGGAGTGCCAGAGAAAAGTGATAATAATAACAAAAATTGCAACATGAGCACTGGTAAGAAATGGTTGCTAAAGACATTAGGTTTATAATACCCAGAAATTCATACACAGATGTCCTCAAGGACACATGGCACAGTGGATAAAGGCGCTAGTTAGATCCAGTGACAGGACCCAAATAGTGAGAGTGGAGAACTTGGAAAGGGGAATTAACAGGAGTTAACTGATAACTGACATCCATTAAACATGGCACATGGAACTAGAACCATCTACCCCAGTGAGCAAAATAAAGGGTACAGTTCGACATTCCAACTACCTGAAGGAGCGTACAACGGCCGAAACATTGTAATAAATATGGCAACAAATATGAGGACAATAGTCCGAATAATGTAAATAAGTTGCAAACTTGTATAAAGATAATAAATAACAGTAAAATGTCATTTTAGTTAATTTGAAATAAAATTGTTGAACATTGTATACCAATAATATTTTTTAGTCTTATCATGACCTGAAGGAATTAGAATTTTAAATACTAAAACGATAAAATTTGTCTTTTTGCCTTACCTCTGTCGGAAAAGGGATAACTTGTGATTTAGGCAGTTAAATATAGCTCCCAATATGCCACCTAAAAATAATAAAAACTGTTATAAGGAAAGTCATTTTGTTTTATTTTGAAAAAGAGGGAAAAATATGGCAAAACTGGTATGATTTTTTTTTTTTTAAAAGAAAAAACATTTTATGAGTTAATAAATTGACACAACTGAATAGATAAGAGAAGGTGAGAGGTTGGAAGTTGACCGTCTTCTTATCTAGATAAAAATTATTTTAGATGATTCATTTAGAATAATAATGTATTTAAAATATAAGCTATTAAGCTTCATACAAATTGAATTCTGGTTACAGCTGTCCATCTAATAGAAACATTAAACAATATATAATAGAAATGGAAAAGTAAGTAAAATGTTATTTTAGACCAAATTATACTGTACTAGGGAAACGATATTCTGATTATAATTTACAAATTGTCTTTTTTCCTTTGTCAGTGTCTCATAGAATAACTCAAGGACAGTTACAGTTTAACCACTAAATTTGTTGTGGTTACTAATCAAACTCTGAAGCATGTTTTGAGCACATTAGTTTTTGAAAATTCAAAATTGTTAAAATGTTTTTAGCACAGTGCTCAATTCACAAGGTAAGTTTAATCACAAATATGGATATTTATGTCTATCAAGTTAGCTAAACCAAATCTTTAAATCAAAATTTAAAAAAACAAAACAAAAAAAAACACTTGTGTTTACATATATATGAACTTTAACCAACAGGGGCTATAAATGTTAACTTAAAAGTCTTTACAAAAACAGTTTCATATTATTGCCTGGGTTTATTGCCGAGATGGATAAGTTTATTGTGTCAAACGCACATCAGTACAGACACAAACAAGGCCTCAGATCACACGTGGATATGTTTGTTAACACCAGTTATATCTGGGTTTTGCCAGTTAGCAGTGGAACAGTTTGGTATGTCTAGATATGGGCCTCTTTGCAATTGGTCAAGATCTGTGTTTTTTATAAGATGCCTCATGCCAATAAAAGCTGGGGGAAAACCAGCAGTCATCTTTTGGCAAGACATGGTGTCTCATGAAGTCAGTCACATGGGCATTTTGTTCCTTAAATTCCTGTGGTTTCCAAATCAGTGTTATTTTTGTTGTTCTGTTCTCTTTCCCCTCTTTACTTATTACTCCTGTAGTTTTTGGGAGAGCAATCTGTTAGGTGTCTGCCCACCAATCTCAACAGACTCTTCACTTACATTACAACATTTATGCAACAATTTCCACATAAAGCACTTGCATCAAAAGTCTTATCAATCTATACCATTTCAAGTTCAATTTGGGACTAATCAAAGTCATTTTGGGATGAAGCAAATTCATAATGAAATAAACAAGTTTGAATTGGGACTAAGCAGATTTATTATGGAAAAATGTTTTTAATTTATCTGCACATTTCAATAAACAAATATGGATTAAAAAAAAATCAACTGGGCAGTAAATCAGATAATTAAAAATCGGAGCACAGCGTTGCATAGATTTTACTATCAATTCCTTACAAGAGGCTATTCTTGAATGTATAAATTTGTGTTAGAGTTAGAGTTTCTGGCAATGTCATTAGTAAGACAATTAGGGAGAGGAGAAGAAAAAAAAAAAAAAAAAAAAAAGAGATGGATAGACTGTATATAGTGTTAAAAAAAATAGAAAATAAGAGAGAGTTATTAAAAATGAAATGATTTGGGGGGCAAATCTTGTAAGTCCTAAGAAAAAGCAGCAAGGAAATACTGAATGCATATATCAAGACAGAGTTTGAAAAAAAAGATAGGGATAGTGAGAGATTTTAAGCGCTGAAAGTTGTATCCAAAAAACACACACCCTTCATGAATTTTCTTGATTGTTCCTAGATGATAAAACATTTCAATAGTAAAGTTTATTTGAACATAATTATTTTATGAAAATATTTAATTTTAAAGTTTTTTTTTAACAAAATAATTGCTCAGTCCCAAATTGAATTTGCCTAATCCATTCTGATCTTGCTAAGACCCAAATCAAATTTGCTTATTCCACTTTGAATTTGACTATTCCATCTTGAATTTGCTATGTCCCAATTTAAATTTGACTATTCCATTTTGAATTTGACAATCACATTTGGAATTTACTATGTCCCATTTTGAATTTAACTATTTCATTATGAACTTTATTAGTCCCAAAATGACTTTGATTAGTCCCAAATTGAACTTGAAATGGTATAGAAACCATTTTTTGAATGACATGATTCCAGTGGATGATTTTACAAAAGTAGCCAAATTTTAAGATTTCAAACCAAAATCCATTTAAAAAAATCTATAAACTAAATTTTTTTAAAAATTGGGTACTTGAAATCTTTTCATGAAATTTGCCTTCAGATATTTAAATGTAATCCAAGAATTCATGATGATTTTTATGTAAGATTCAGTAAATATTTAAAATATATCTTGTTGGAACCAAAGTCTTCATTTAGGACTTTTGTAGGAAAAAAAAAAAAAAAAGACAAATTTTTATCTTGTTTCTAACAATTTAGCTTTTGAATATGATTGAACAAATAGAAATCATTCAATAAATAATAACATGTTGAAATATTTTAAGGACACTTTAGTGGCAGCATTTTACATTTAAAAGGTTGATTCAATCAAAAATTCTCCTTTTTTTATACATTTAAAATAGAGACCCTGAGAAAGATAATGATACATATGGCAAAGAGTTGATAATGAGGTAAGAGTGGATTTCTGTATTTATCATAAATACATAAATATGCAGAGATTTCATCTTAAAATAAAAGTATCAAACTTATATCTGAAACAAAGTACTTTACTATTTCATAAGACTTTATGGAAGTTCAGAAAGACAATAAAAAAACAATAAATTCAAAGAAAACACAAGAACTGATTAATAAAAATACTTATTCTAATAAAACTCACCAAAGACACCCATGAACATAAAAATAATTAATTCCAGACCAGAGTAATCGTTAAACTGAAAATAAATATAAAATTTAATTCATTAAAAAATACATAAACTCATTTGAATACATTTGTGAATTCGTGTACACACACTCTTTGAAGACGATATAATCTTTATAATACATTAAGTATCGTTTTGTTTGTGATTTCTAATTTTTGCTAATAGTATCTCCCTTGCACTGACAATTAAATTTAAAGACATGTGAAAACCTAGTAATAATATATAATAGTTTTTGAGAGTAGAGGTAAACTAGTTGATGGAATATTAAAGCAAATCCCTATCGTCTTTTCTATAAAATATATTTTCTATCAGATATTCAGTCTATACAAATATCACAATTTATATACTGAAAGCTCTTATAAAATTTAAAAAGATTCCACAAAATAATTCTGTATTTTAATTGCAAAGAACTAATATGAGTATCAATATTTTCTGGAGAAAAAGCAAGAAATAATAGCCCAAGAACTTTTAGATTATGATCTAAAATAAAACTAAAAAATGTATCATATATAAATTTATCGAATAGTTTGTGATAGAAAATAAAGATTTTGGATAGGATAAATTCGTAAAATAATCTCAGCAAAGAAGAATTTTTAATGAGATTAATACTTACATTAAATGTTCCAAAATTGATAAGACCTGGGTAACTAAGGTCCCAGGGATGCTTTCTTTCATAACTTTGTATCACATTCAGTGTAAAACTTGAAACCATTGAACAGAAAAACTAAAGAAAAAAGATCAAGTGTAATATTATAAATATTATCATAATGTTATTAAAATTAAAAAAAAATGAAAATATTAACATTTTTGCTAAAAAATAATTCTGTTGAAAGCTAGTTTAAAAGTTTGTTTCATTCAATTATTTGATAATATTTTAAAAGAGACTTTAGGATAAAATAAATGAAATGATATAAAGCAGGTTTTGTAGCCAATTCTCAATCTTTTGATTTAACATATTTAAAAAAAATAATCATTAAAAAAAAGAGCAGTTTTCATATCACTTCTTGAAGCAAACTTTAATCATAATTACACAAATAAGATTTGTTCATTTAAATAAATCTTTAATAAGATTTGTTAAAAAAACTTTCATAATGAAAATATTTACAGGCAGATATTAGATGATTTTAATTTCACTTTAAATGTTTCTAGAGTTAAAAAGAAACAATTATCTAAGTGGCTTAAAAAGTGCTGAAATACCCTGACATTAATATCCTGGCTTATTAGAAGAATAAATTATGTGAATATAGACACAAACTCAAAGTCCAGTTTCTTAGGAATAACAATTCCAGCAAAGGATAATCTTTCAATGTTTGAAAAATAAGGAGCAACTAACAGGAACCAGCAGAATTTGAGGATCATTCAAAATTATTAGACTTTTGTCACAGAACAGAAATTCTATAAAGTAACCACTTGGTATTTATTATTCTAAAACTGTAGTGAAAGAGATAATCAGGTACCTCGGAAAAAAGTTTGTGTTTTGTGTGCGATCTGCCGAAGAAGGATTACCAAAAAGTAGTCAGCAAAAACCTTATAGCGAAGAAAACGGCAACAACTTTGTCAACTGAAAGCGACAGCACGTATTGCAAGGTATTCTGTGACGGAAAAGAAACAAGTCCGTTGCAGGAGTCGCTATAAGAGGATATTGATATGCAAATTACGGAGCATCCTATCCCAGCTGTAATTGAATAAAAAAATAGGTTCTGCCGATAAAAGCAGTTGGTGTTCTCGATTCGGTGGAAGGAAAATTCGGGCATTTTTGGCTACAGCATTTGTTGGGAGAGTAATCTGCAACAAATTTGCTTTGAGAACGCTTACACTTTACAAGCTATTTTGGCATTTACTTTGTCTCTCGCAAGATGGCGGAAAGACCGTTCGATATAAAACTGATCCCCGAATTCAGTGGTGATACTAGTGGACAGTCTGTGGTTGAATGGATCGAAAAGGTGGAACTGGTCTGCGAATTATGCAAGATCATGAAGATTGAACAGATTCTTCCACTGCGATTGAATGGCGGTGCCCTTGCTGTGTATAGGCAGCTGAGTAAAGAACAGAAAAGTGACATTGAGCAAATAAAGCACGCTCTACTAACCGCGTTTGGAACTGACCGGTTCGTGGCCTCGACCAATTCCAGGCACGGCGTCTGCGAATTAATTGCGAGACAGTAGACGTATATTTGGCAGAATTAAAGAAGCTCGCCGTTCAATCGCACCGCTTCCTGAAGAATGGATGACATGTGCTTTCGTTTATGGATTGCCCAGTCATGTTAAGCAGATACTCGCGCATCATCCAGAATGGAAGACCTGACACTCAATCAATTGTTGACCAGAGCCCGTGCTGTCATGATCGACGAAAAAGAGGCTGATGAACCAGTGGCGAAGTTATTCAACCAATTGGAGTCAAAGAAGGTCCGACCCCAGCCATTCGTCACCATGGCGTTACCACCTGCTATCGGTGCTCTGGGCCGAATCATTTTGCCAGAGACTGCTGCTATCAACGCGAAGAAATGCACACCAGGTCGGGCGCGAAAGGCGCGTCTCGATCTCGATGCTTCAATGTCATAAAGTAGGTCATATTGCCTCTAAGTGTCCGGGAAATGGAATGGGGACATGGCGTCAGCGCGGTCTCTTCCCGCACCGAGCATGAAAGAGGCGCTCCCTGTGATTAAGGTGCGCATCAATGGAATAATCGTACCACTTTAATAGATTCGGCTTCTCTCGGTCACTCACGAACGGTTCGATTTGCCCGACAGTGGAGCAGACAAAAGATGGGCGTACTAACGGCTGATGGAAAGGCTCTCAGAAGCCGGGGAGTTGAAAACATCAAACTCAGTATCAAAAACGGTGACCCTGTCACAGTCAGTGTGTTGGTCGTGGACAGCACGTTGTTAGGTGTCGATCTGCTCCTTGGGATGGACATTATTAAGGAGCTGGGCTGGGTTTCGACGAATAGAGGCGGGCAAAGTCCAGTTTTCTGATCCGCCCATCTGTGCTACTTTGAAGATCAACGAGCCTGACTTTAGCGCAGAAGTTTCGACCAAAGGGCGAAGACATGGACAGCATTTTGGAAATGGTCGGAAAATAACCCACCAGAAAAGCTCCAGAACCGAGTGTCAGAATATTCGGTGCCCGAACGGCGTCAAGGAAGAATACCAGCACGAATTGCAGGTGTGGTTGGATAACGGATGGCTGACTCCGTATCCTGAGGAAGAGCTTGGTCCTCCAAGAGGCCTCATCCCGTTGATGGGCGTGGTACAAAAGAACAAGGGAAAAGTGCGCCCTGTACTAGATTATAGAAAACTGAACGAACATGTAGACATATACACAGCTCCTTCGAAAGGCCTACTTGCAGGTACGTGTGCACCGGTCACTGTGGCCATTTCAGACGGTGATCCTTAATGGGACGAGATACTGCTTAACCTGAATGGGATTCGGACTCAATGTAGCGCCGGCCATCATGAAAGCCATCGTGGATGCTGTGTCAAGCGACGTCAGCCTAAATTGACGACATCTACATCAACGAAACCTTAGTACCTGCTTCATAGGTGAGAAAGCATCTTGCTGACTTTGGGCTCGAATGTAAGAACCCAGAAAGACTGGAGGATGGTGCTCATGTGCTCGGCTTGCAGGTCTGGGGGAGCACAACATGCTTTACTGGAAACGTGGAAGCGAGCTCCCGGACATTCCCAAACACATGACCCGACGCAGTGTTTTCGTTATGTGGAAAGCTGGTGGGACATTTTCCCGTGGGCGGGTGGATCCGCATTGCAACTGCATTTATTAAATGTAGGGTGACTGCTGTCACTTCCGGTTGGGATGACACAACCAATGATGCTCCCCTTAGACACATGATAGCGGAAGTCATTACTAGGGTGCGTCAAGACGACCCTGTATGTGGTAAATGGTGCGTTGACGGATGTGAATTTAACGTCTGGGTCAACGCGAGCTCCTTTGCAACAGGAGTGTCTCTTGAAGTAGGTGAAACTGTCGTGGAAGATGCGTGTTGGTTGCGTCCCGAGAAGGATACTCAACATATCAACCTGTCAGAATTAGATGCTGTTATCAGGGGAGTGACCGCGACCCTTCAATGGAATGCAAAGGTATTGCATTTATTCACGGATTCCGCATGCGTGTATAAGTGGATAGCAGACAGGAAGGCTAGGATACGTACAAAGGCTGCGAGCGAGATGCTCATTCGAAGGTGGCTAGACACACTGAGAAAGTTGGTAAGTGAATACCACTTATCCGTAGACATACAGCTGGTCAGATCACAGCAGAACAAGGCCGATACTTTAACAAGGATACTCCAAAAATAGCTTGACGCTATTAAGAAAGAGGTAGAGCCAGTAGGACATGTCTGTGTAACATCAGCGAGCAAGCATAACTCAGATTTACTAAAATCTGTGCATTGTCAAAGCGGACATCCCAGTGTAAAACGGATCCTATATTTCGTGAGGCAGATTTATCCCTCCGTATCCAAAGCTGCTGTCAAGGCAGTGGTCAGAGGATGCAAGGAGTGTCAGTTCATCGACCCAGCACCTGTGCAATGGCAAAAAGGACAAGTGAGTGTAAGCAAGGTGTGGCACTGTGTTGGAATGGACATCACCCATTATAACGGACATCACTATTTAATCCTGATTGACTATGGCCCAACCCGGTTCACTATTTGGCAGCGTCTGCGTCGACAGGATTCTGCAAGCGTCATTGACCACTTGGGGTCATTGTTCTTTGAACGTGGACCTCCAACGGAACTCCTCACTGACAACGACACTGCATTCTGCAGTGGACTATTCAAAGATTTTGTGGATTCGTGGGGAGTACACCTCAGATTTCGCTGCGCGTATGTCCCATCAGGGAATGGCATAATCGAGCGATGTCATCAGAGCATCAAAAGAATCGCAGCTAGGAAGCAGTGTTCCATAATGGAGGGGGTGTATTGGTACAATGTTACTCTGAGAGACAATAATGTATCGCCCTCAACTGCGCTAGCCAACATGATTTATCAGTACAAAGTCCGGCTACGAGGCAGGCATTGACACAATGTGTTCAACTGAACGGATAAACAAACGTGCGCCGTATGACTTGGGCGATCGCGTGTGGGTGAAAGCTCCACATAGCCGGTGTACAACCCGGTACCGGGTGGGGCATGTCACTGGATTAAGTAACTCACGCTCTGAGCTGGTTGATGGCATACCAAGACACAAAGGACTTGCGTCGCTATGTAGGTACAGATACGTCAACAAGTGACACTAGCAGTGAGTGCTCAGAAAGTGAACAATAATTACCATTGGAGGTAGGGCTAGCACCTCTTCAAATCGTGAAGACTGTGCGTGAGGTGGTCAGACCAGAAGAATACTCAGAAGAAGAATCAGAACATTCTTCAGATGATGAAGACTCTGCACATGAGGTTGTCAGATCTGAAGAAACCTCAGAACATAACACACAATTTCCTCCAACAGTCGCCCCGCTCCGGAGAAGCTTAAGAATAAAGAGGCCCACCCGTGAGTGCCAATTATGTGACAGAGGGGAGTGTAGTGAAAGAGATAATCAGGTACCTCGGAAAAAAGTTTGTGTTTTTATGCGATCTGCGAAGAAGGATTACCAAAAAGTAATCAGCAAAAATCTTATAAGCGAAGAAAACGGCGACTTACCTCGTCAACCCAAGCGACAGCGCGTCACGTGTATTGTGACGGAAAAAGAAACAAGTCCGTGGCAGGAGTCACTATAAGAGGATATTGATATGCAAATTACGGAGCATCCTATCCCAGCTGTCGACAAATGAAAAAATAGGTTCTGCCGATAAAAGCAGTGGGTGTTCTCGATTCGGTGGAAGGAAAATTCAGGCATTTTTGGCTACGGCGTTTGTTGGGAGAGTAATCTGCGACAAATTTGCTTTGAGAATGCTTACACTTTACAAAAACTTTTCCATAAACCCATTTAAGAATATTCACTGTAACTATAGCTTGTGTGATAAGCATGAAAGCTATTATTCTAGGACAAGTTCAATAAGATTGTAACTGTTCACTTTGTGAATAATCTTGTAATGCAGTTATTATTTTTATAAGATTTTTTTAATTCCAAGAAGTGAATGGTTACTTTATAGTATTTGTGTTCTGTGACAAAAGTCTAATAAAGTTGAATGATCCTAGGATTCTACTGGTTCCTGTTAGCTGTTCCTTATTCTTCAAAACATTGAACATGTGTTTATGGAAAAGTTGTCTTAGAATAATAAATACTTGATCCTTGTTATTAAATAATTCCTCGTTTTAAAATTTAGGAGAAACATTTGCCTTCAGAAAACAAAATGAACATTTTTGAAAAAGCATTTAAAAGAAAGCGGACTTCTGTTCATGTTGAATCTATTTGAATATATGGACATGTTAAAAAAAAAATGATAAAGAGTAAAAGCTATACAATTTTCCAGGTAAGAGCCTGATTCCAGAAACTAGCTCCTTCTTCCAAGCTGAAGAGGACGCCACCAACAGGTGCTCCAAAAGCTGCAGCAACACCAGCAGCAGCTCCACCAGATACAAAGTCACGCTTTTCAGTATCAGTACGGAAATATTCAAGCATCTGAAAAGAGAGAAAAAAAAAAAAAAAAATATTTTATAGAATAAATACAAAAGTAAACAAACTTCATCCTTTCACAATTTTGAAAACACAAACTTAACTAAAAATTAAAACAAAAAGGCTTATTGATAGCTCTATCTTATTTTTTTAAGGTTAGTCATAGAAAGGGATGTAAGACAAGGACGTGTTTTCTCACTGGACTTATTCAACCTATACAATGAGGTAATTCTGGGAGAATTAGAAGTCTTACCAGAACTCATTATTGGCAGTCACAATCTTAACACAAGATATGCAGAAGAGACAGTGTTGTTATCAGAGATAGAAAGGAAACTCCAAGAACTCCTCCAGAAGGTAGTGAAGGAAAGTGAGAAGAAAGGACTAAGCATCAGTTGCAAAAGACAGAATGCATGGTTCTCATCAAAAGGAACAACTCATCATGCAAATTACAAATTGAAGATACCAAAATCTAACAAGTACAAAATTTAAATATCGGGGGGGTAACAAAGAACAAAAAGTGTGACACTGAAATCTGAAGGTGCATTGAGATAGTAAAAGTGCCTTCCAAAAGCTAAGCAAAATATTAAAAAACAGAAAAATTTTGTTAGAAATAAAGAGTACTGAACTGTTATGTAATGTTAGTTCTCCTATATGGCAGTGAATGCGGGACAATCTCCTCACAGATGAAGAAGCGACTTGAAGCAAAAGAAATGTGATTATACAGAAGGATGCTGAGAATATCATAGTCCAAACATGTGAGCAATGATGAAGTTTTACAGAAAATGGAAATGAAAATGACACATACTTAATATGAGTAATAGTTAGTTGAAATTTCTGGGGCAGATAATGAGGAAAGAAGGCTTGGGAAATTTGATAACCACAGGGCAGATTGAAAACAAGAGGGACAATGCATAAGCTAGCTGAACCATATTGTCTATTTTTGGTATGGGTTACACATTGCAGTCAGTGAAATGTTTCACAGTCTGCAAATAATCAAAGACTAATACCCTCTTGTAGGTTTTGTCTTTCATGACTAGTGGCTGAGGCTTCCATGGTGATTGAATTGGTTTGATAATACCATTCTTCAGCAATCTAGCAACTTTTTCCTCAATGAACTTTGTGTCTTTCCTTGAATAGTGCCTGGATTTTACTGCTATTGGCTTCCAGCCTGGTGTCAAGTTGTCAGACGGTGGTGCTACTTTTAGGGCTGTTAACCTGTATACTTTCAAAGCTGATCAATTACCTTCATAGTCAAATTCTACTCTAGAATGCGGCCTCTAAAAATCTCTACCCAATATAATGTTGGCACATAGGTTTCTTATAATCAAGACTTCAAATTGTGGGTAACTCTGCCCCTGTACTGCCAAATCTACAACGCACTTTCCAGGGATGGCTGAATGAAACTTTGATGAAGCCATACTTATTAATCCTCACTCAGGTCTGTAGAAAAGCCAATTCTAACTTCTGAACCACCTGTTCATCCACATAGCTGTGAATCAGGACCTCTATCCTTGAGCCATTCAGCTTACCTGTGACACTAGTTTTCTGTTTGAATTCCTTTCTAGTGGCCACCATCATTAGTATAGCAAGAGAGGTAAAGCAGTCCTGTTTTCTTTGCTTAGCATACATTTGTGTAGTACCCAATTTTGTTGCATGTGTGACATGGCCTTCCAGGCTGAGCATTGTTTCTTAGGGTGTTTTTTGCTTTCCACAAAAAAAAATTTTAACCACTTTCAATCCTATGGACCGTGTCATTGTTAAGTGTTCATTGACTTCCTCTTCCTACTGCCATAGTTGACTTTGACATCACCACATGCTTTATGGCTAGACTACGAGCCTTGTTTGAGGCTTTGTTGAAGGTGAGTTTCCCATTCTCCAGAAGTCATCATTGTTGAATTATAGGGCTATGAAGGTATCTTGAATGGCTCATTCTTTGTGCTCAGCTGCAGTAACCTGTTAGAAATTACAGTCCTTAGTGAGACTCTATAGGATCTGTACAAACTGGTTGAATGTTTCTCCAGTTTGCTGTTTCCTGGTAGCTAGGGTGTATCTCGCATAGATTTCACCCTTTTCTTGTGTGTATGTTTTGTTTAACAAGTTCATAGCCTCCATGTAAGTTTCCACCACACTTATAAATCTCATATATGCCTGGTGACACAAAGTTCTCCAGTAGTTCTAGTTATCTGCTTTGGTTGCCGCTTCGGGTGTCCACTTCAGACAATTTTCTAAAGTCAATTTTCTCCATTGTTTCCAGGCTTCCTTGTAACCGGATGAATTTTAGTCAACATCAAAATGCACAAAGCTTCAGTAGCTTCACTATTTGGAATTCATACATAATTGACTTGTATTTAGAATAACTGCAGCATAATTTTTATAAGGCACATACTAGTTTGTAGTCAGGGGCTGTGAGAATGTATGAATTAGCTCAAAGAAATATTCTAAATATAACATTGACAAAGAGAACAAGAAGGGTATGTATGTATGTATATGAAAGAAAGAATACTTACATTTAAATCAAATTTAAGAGATGAAGATCGGCCTTGCGATATTCCTGCTGCCACCACTGCACCAGAATGAATCATTGGACCTTCCTAAACATAATAATTATAAACACCGATGCAAAAGTTTATTCTATTCATATAAATTCATAACATCATTATTTAGTCATGAAAATATTTCCCCTGGTTTTTTATGACCTTATAGAATCTTTTGGTTAAATTGTGTACACCATTATAAAAGAATGATTCCAGTTTTCGTTTGATAAAATTTTTGAGATATTGAACTTGTTGGAACTGTTCCCTGAATAGTATACTTGCAAGGCCAAGTGACAATGTGAAGGTGACAGATCTTGAAAATATATTGAAGAACTTCACATTTCAGCTCTCTTATTGTATACTGCATTGCAAAATGTAGTTTACTGCTTTACCCTTGTTTAAAAGGTTCAAATAAATAAACTGAAAAAGAATTTAAATAAATCCATACTGCCTTTGAAAATTCCTGGATCATGGATCTATCCTTCTCTGATGAGATATATTCATCTTTGAGGACAGTTGGGGAAAAAAAAAAATAAATAAATACAAGTTACAAGTTTTCAACAATGAAAAATACTGAGGTAGGAGAAAAATTCACTTGATTAAAGAAATGAAAATATCTTGAATATATCAGAGGACTCTAATTTTAACAAAACTTTCTATAATGTGTCAAAATTTATAAATATAAAAATAAGACTGAATTAATTATATAGAAATTTGATAGTAAACTTTCACCATCAGATGACCAGGTGCAAATTCTAGGATGTGGAAAAAAAAAAATTATTTTTTATATCCTGGCACTTACAGTCTAGTGATCATAGCATGCAAGTTGCCATATAAAATATCTTAATTCAGTCTTAGATGATTGATTTTTTTTTTTCTAACATTGAACACTATTTTTTACAATGGTATAATTATTTTATGCTTATCAACTTTAATATTCTAAATATGTTGTAATGTGTTCCAAACTACACCCACCTTACCAACAGCGAGTCCACCAGCCACAGCGCATACAACACCAAACACTTTAACAATCAGAGTCTTCAAGCGTACCACTCCAGGGACTTTGACACCATTCAAAAAACATTTAATTTGAGGGATGCCACTTCCAGATGCAATAGGCTTTAAAAAGAGTAGAAGAAATCAAAACAAAATCAACATTTATAACAATTTGAAATAAAATTTGCCACTTTTATTACTTATTAAAACTTTTATACATTTTGTACTTATAAAATCTTAAGGATTAAATTATCAGAATTTTTTTAAACAAATGCCAATTGAAGGAGGATAAAAAAAAAAAATGTTGCATAAGGGATAAAAAAATACCAGGTATTTTCCTGATTATACTTACTGCGATGATTGCTGTAGCTAGGGAACCTGCCAAACAAAATGTAGCATTAAACCCAATCCATACGATGAATGCAAGCCAGAGACAATGATTTTTGACACAACTGTCTAAATCTAATCCCACGTTAAAGAAAAACAACTCAAAAGAAAATAAAAAGAATTCAAAGAATAAATGACAGTAAAAATAAACAAAGTCCATGTTTTTTAAAAGTGTTAACTTAACCAGGGGGAAAAAAAAACTTCTGGTTATGTTAGATTAGTTGATTTTATAATATGTAAAACCTTATTGGATTAATTAATATCAAAATTTGTATGGGGACACTTACTGAGAATCAAACTCAGCAATAATGGTTAACCAGACTTAACCATTCACTCACACCATGGTGCCCTGAAAAACCTTATGCTTAATTTCTTTGTTAGAATAATTCTCAGAGAAAGATATTAATATACTATAATTGGGAGGAGTGGTTTGTGCATTATGTGAGAATAATGGTCTCTGTGGTTATTTTAATATGAAGTTAATTTTTTATTGATGCACATATAATTTGGATTTAATGCATGCAGCAAATGACTAAAAAACATTGCAAAAATTAAGTAGCTATTGTTTAAATTTAAAATCCACATAATTGCTTGGCACATAGAAATCAGGTTATGTTAAAATGACAAAAGGAAAAAGTACATAGGAAAGTGCAAATGAACTGACATTCCTTTTTATCCAGTCAGCTTTCCTTCATCAGCTCTTATTATTTAATCAGTTCTGGTAAGTCAATTTAAATAACAAAGGATTTAGACAACAGCTTTTCACTCCTATTAACATCTCTTCATGCATACATTCTTTATCTACTTAGACACACAAGCTTATAAACACACAATAGTAATATCATCAAAAGATTCATGGAACTGCATGTGATGATGTTATATTACAATACAGATTTCTAAAATTCTGCTTTATTTGGAATCTTCTGAATTCGACTTCATTTTAAAAGTGCAGCACTAGTAAATTTGAAACTGATTTTCTTATGAGTAACCAAAGTTGGAGAAAAAAAAAGAGAGGCTAAATAAAGGAAAAAGTTTGTTTTCCAGTCAAACAAAAATATCCCCATTTTTACCACCTCTGAACACACTAAAAAACAGGAAAAAAAACCACCTCTCTCTTGATCTACCTTCTGTTGTTTATTCCTCGGGTTACCTGGCCACCACTTATGCATTTTCATAACAAAAGTCATAATTCTAACACATCTATAAGCCAAATGACTAAACTACACCTTTTGCCATCATTTGTAATATCCATGAATCCTTTTGAACACATCTGACCTTTTATGGTCAAGCCGTAGTGTTTAATATATTGCATATATTTTAAGCATATACTTGCCTCAATGGGGAAAATCACTGAAAAGAATTAAGTGCCACTCTGTTTATCATTTTGATGAAGTTCATTACTAAACATTTAACTGTTTTTCTTTTTTTTAATTAAAGAAAATAAAATGCTTAGTTTTATATTTTGTCCATTAGATGAATGGACTAGTATTTATTTTTATGATAATTTTTAGTTGTTTTTTTATTGCAACTCAGATCATCAATTTTGAATAGACAGTGCAAATTGAAAATAAAGCATAAGCATTCAGTGAAATTAGATCTAACATTCCTTTGCCTGGTAAAAGCCTGGTAAAGAGCTTTAATCACTTTTTCATACTTCCAAGGATTTCAGATATTTTTGTTAATGCCAAAAACAGGTTGACACATTACACCTGTAGAAGTCTCTAAGTGATGATATTTCATCACAATTAAAAATAGAAATCCTTTCAATTCTTTTACTACCAAAATCTGTAATAAAAGAATTAGTATTCCCTCAGCCACTGGACAAGACTTTTGATTCTCAGAAACAAGAGACATAAAAGATTTGGCTACTACAAAACTTAGAAAAAACAGTTTTGAAATTTTGTTACCATATATGCAGTTTAATTCTCAAAAAAATTCTGGACGGATAGATTCAAGCACCTTAAACAAAAAAAAAAAAAATACATAATACCATAAAATAATCATAATACTAAAAACATTTATGTAATGTGTAACATATCACAATTTAACACACACCAAATAAAACATGCCTGTAAATTTATTACCAACACATAGTTACATAAATGAGAACAACGCCTCAACTCATTAATCTGTTGTATTTTTTTGTTACACGTTTTTTTCTTCTCACAATTTGCAGCATTAACCTGGAAAATTCCTCTGCTACAATTTGAATTCAGTTGCAGTAACTTTTTTTTTTTTTATTACTACAACAAAAAGCCCATGCTTATAATCGTAGTAAGCACCTAATTTACAGTAGTGGTGACATACACTACCAATTGCTTCACACCAAAGAGAGGATCAACACATTCACAATCACAGGAATTCATCTTACATTCAGACATATGTGCAAACACCACAGATAATTAGAAGAGTGAATAATGGCTCAATCAAATTACCCAAATTTAATTCTTAGGGCCCCTATTCTTGAATTTTCAAGAAAGGATGAAAAGCTGATGTTGGCAACTCAAAAGCAGTAGTCACTTTCATCTTGGAAGGATTGGTCCATAGCTTGTTGACAATCAAAAAAAATACAATTTCATACAAATTCAACTTCTGCTGGCATGTTGACCTCCAAAGAGACACATAAGAAATTTTATAGCCTCCTTCAGCTCTGTATACTCTACATTATTATTTATTTATTCACGAATTAAATTCCAGTGCTTAGTAAGACTTATTTCATTTTAATCTTTTTCTTTACAAATTTTAATTCATAAACAACATTGTCCACTCTCACATTATTTAAAAGTTTATTTTTTTGTATTTCATTTATTTGAATATATAAATTTACTGTTGCCATTTCACCAAAAATCTTGGGTTTCATTCTGAACATGCATATATGTACATTATTCAATTGCACTGATGAACAAGCGTCCATAACTTAGTTGCAAAAATTTGATGGCTATGCAGAACATCAAATCTATCTTTAACTTCTCACTCCATTCCACAATCTTTACCAGTATCCTATTACTATTATTAGTAGCAGCATTATTACCAAATGAAGCATTGGTAACCCATATTAATAACATTGCTTTGTATTTACTTTTATTTTTTAGTTGCATGGAATATAGTGATGAATTTATAGATAAGAACTGATCATTTGCAAAGATGTCATGGTTTTTCACTGCTAAACATTTACAGCAAATAGATTTTTACTCAGCTTTCTTGACATAAAAGGGACTCTTATCAAGAGTTTATCTCTTATTTTCAATTTTGTACTGCTATAGAGTCATGTTGAAATAAAAAGCAGCTAAAAATTAAACTACTCAAAATAGTCAAAAATAACATTTACTTTCTTACAAGGTCATATATTGCCTGGTCATTTGTAAGATCAAATTAAAAAAAAAAATTTCAATAAATGACAAAAAATACTCCATAGATCTTTTATTTGAAGCTGAAGTATCTACCAACTAACGCTTACATGGATGTTATACGTTAGGTACAAGTAGTACTGATTTAACTCTATAATACTGTAATATTTTTTGATGGAAACATTTCATAAATTTCAGTCTAAAATAATTTGGTCATTGAATCTTTCTGTATAAGGAAACAGCTAATTACCATTAACTGTAAATGGATTGGGTGGGGAGAGTCTTGTATACCTTTAAATCTGGTATTATGAGTCTGGAAGGGGGTTATATGTATTATGTGATGATAGTTTATAAGTTTATGTTATTTTTTTTATTGAAAATCACAAACAAAAAGATCCTCTGCACTTTTTCAAACTTAAAAAAAAAAAAAAAAAAAGCAGTGATTATCAATTGAAACATGATGAACATAAAAATAGGATAATTTAGTTTAAATTTTCTTACAAAATTGTGGTGAACAGCCCTGTAGAAGCAAGCGAGCCAAAGTGGCTTGCATCTGGTGTATAGGGAAATAGGGGTCTTACCTTAACGTGCAGCACGTGACATCAGCAAGTTTGCTTCGTGAAAATGGCATTACTCTCCAGTCCAGCCATTCTAGCAGTATGTGCAATGATGAGGGGTTTTTTGTACAGTTCGGAATGCTTCCACCAATAGCAAGTTGTGTGCTGATTGGTCGAACTGGAGGAGGCAATTTGCCTGTGTAACCAAGAATAACAGCAAAGAATGCTGATTGGCTGGGGAACCGCGGTGTTGGCCTGATAAAAGAGTGCTGGAGCCGTGAAAAAGGGGACAGAAACGTTGGCTATACGTAGTGACGTGTGAAGAAAGTGAGGACGGTGAATTGAACCAGCGATATTGTGATTTGTACAAGTGACAGTTGGGAGAGCAATAGACTTATTTAAGCTACAAGCTATTTCGGCTTTTTCTCTAATCATGGCGGACAGAAGTTTCGATATCAGGCTGATACCTGAATTCAGTGGAGCTGCTACCGATCTACCAATTGTAGAATGGATTGAAAATGTGGAGTTGGTTTGTGAACTTTGTGAGATGAAGAAAGTCAAGCGGGTATTGCCACTGCGCTTGCGAGCCAGGGCTCTCTCTGTGTATTGGCAACTGACAAAGGAGCAGAGGTCAGATCCAGAGCAGATTAAGCAGGCCCTTATAACTGCATATGCAGTGGATTCATTCACTGCGTATGATCAGTTTGTGTCACGATGATTTCAGCCAGGGGAAACGGTAGACAAATTTTTAGCAGAGTTGAGACAGCTAGCTTTGTTGGTTGGCGACCAACTGCCTGAACGATGGATGATGTGTGCCTTCGTTTCTGGACTGCCGCAACAAGTCAAGCAACTTCTCCGTGCATCATCCAGAATGGACACTATGACGTTGGACCAGATCCTGACTCGTGCTTGTGCCGTTATGACTGATAGCAAAGAGCCGGATGAGTCAGTTGCCACAGCAGCTCAACAGACGAATATAGCAGCTCAATGGACGGGCGGCATTGTGTGCTTTAAGTGTTTTGGTCCCAACCACCTGGGAAAGGATTGCAGGCAAAGCTACTCGGAGAAGACAGCTACCCAGACCCGAAGATCCCGCCGCGGGATACGGTGTTTTCAGTGCAACAAGGTTGGACACATTTCCTCAGAGTGCCAGGGAAACGGATCCGGGGAA